TAACTGCTGATTTTTTTTTTCCTTTTAGTTGCTTACTAACTTATTTTATGCAGTAAGACCCAAAAATACAAGGATCTGTTTTTCCTCTAAAATATTATTCAAATCCCAATGTCAGATCTCGAATTTAGCATGGGAGGATTAAAAAAAAATAATCTAGAACATCTTATTGTTGATTTTATGTCAGTAGTCAGTGGGACATTCCAGCAGGTTGTTCAAATTTTTGATACAAATCACTGAACGTTTCACAAATCAGTGGGTTTTTACCTGATTACCCGCTGGCAAAAGGATCTGCTGTGTGTAATTACAGCTGTTTCTACAATACTGTAGAAATGCAACACTGAAAAATGGGTTGATGAGGCTGTCTTAGCTCTTTTGAGGAAGAACATAGCCCTTATGTTTTGAGATTTCTCAATATGCAGAATTATGCAGAAGAGGTTAGGATTTAATTATCAGATCATCTTTCCATAACATTTCTGATTTGAGTTATTCATATCAGCAGTGTGAAGTCCTCTTCATTAAAGCTGCATGTGTAATAAGAGCACTAGTTCTTGCTCGGTGTTACTCGTATTAATATTAATGAACATAAAAATATGAACATGAGCTTATTCCTGTGGTGTAGGCACATGATGGACATGGATGAAATCACTTTTCTATATAACCTTCTCCCTCATGCATTACTTGCCATGAAGCAGAAGGAGGGGCTTCTCATGTCTACAGTGAAAAGAAGAAAGCAGTGAAAGGAGATTTCCTAATTTCTGAGAGTCACTGATGCTTTAGGACTTTGAACTCCTTTCACCATGACAGTGGGAGGTGCGGGAAAAGCTTAGGAAGATCGTGGAGGGACCTTACTGCTCTGTTGGTGGGAATTGTCCATTGGTGCGAAGGGACCAGCGGGAAGCATACACCCCGGCTTAAGGGTCTTCCGTAACGCGATCTGAAGTCTTCTCCCCTAGGAAGGTTTATATTCCCTTGATCAGAAAAGTCGTTCATGGCTGAGTGATGGGAGAACCATGATTTCTCTTTGCTCTGGCATGTAACTGTGAGTGGCACCAGATACTCCTGTGGTGATCCTTTCCTCAGTCTGTTCCTTTCCAGGGGCCAGGTGACCTCTTCCACAACGTTGTTGTTTCAGACCATAAGCAAATTATGATCCTGAGCATTTACGGTTTTTATTCAGAGCTTGAAAGTTCCCTTCTGAGCAATGAGGACTGGGAGTATCATTAGACAACACACAGAAGTTACACGTGCTCCAAGGGCTCTTCAGCCCTCTGACCACCTCCTTCAGGTGACAAGACGGTGTGTGCTTTCTAGGAGTAGGAGGAAAGGGCTGGAGGAGAGCACGTGTGGTAAACTGAGCTCTCCAGCCTGCTCGGAGATGATAAAAGCTTTGGAGTCCTTGCTTAACAGGCCTCTGACTCTTTTAGTGGGCTGTTTGGGAGGGGAGAAAGCATCAGATTTTTTTACCTTGGGACCCAGGAAGGGAAAAAAACCACTCCACAGCAAAGGAGAAACTACTGGTGTTTCTGTAGTCCCTAGGAAGGTTGCTGCTGCTTGAGTCTCCTTCCTCCCTCCACTGTATGTTCCCAGCAGCAGCGGCTGGCGTGCGGCCAGGCAGCACCTTATGCTGTCTCTTCCCTTGCTGTTACTGGTGATGTTACCTCTGACGCCTCCGAGCCTGGTGACCAAGCCTCGTTCCCTGACAGTCTTATGTTCCACTGGTCATTTAAATGGGGTCATATACCAGCAAGGGAGATATTTTGAACCCAATTAGGAGAGGCCTGGGCTCCCCATTGTTGTTCCACAGAGCAACGAGTTCTTTCCAGCAGTAGCTCCAGGACAGAAAGACACCACCAGCACTTTTGTAGGAGTAGCGGGGTAGAAAAGGCTAAGTCATTAAGATCCAGTGACCTCAAATCACTGTCACCACCTGGTAAGAGAGGTGTCCATCAGGAACATGGAGGCGGTAGTGTAACGAAGGTGCGAGGTGAGCAGTTGACACGGGGACAGTGACTGGGCACGGGCTAATGCTGACAATGAAAACTGGGGTGGAGGCGTGCGACGGCTACGCTTGGCCTCAGCACGGAGAGCCGAAAGCAGACACTGCTGCTGCTTTCCCAAACCGTGAGACGAGGGCTCTGCAGCTAGCTCCTGACATTGTTTGTTGATCATTTACAGCAGATGCTTCTTGGCAGCGGTGTCATTAAAGTTGATAAGAAATTCACTGTGTGTTACCTATACAGGAAAATAGATGTAAACACAGCACTTCCAGGACTAAGGGTCTTCATGGATCATACTTTCTGCCCTGATCAAGGCCTGACATATGCATATATTTCTAATATTTCTTAAAATGTAAATGATAAGTAGAGAAGCTGTATTTCATAATACTCAGGGAAAATTTCACGAAGGATTCTTCATTTTCTCAAATGCTAGCCATAATCTAGTATATATTGTTTTTTTGGAATTCAACTGCAGATCTACAAGGGTAAAAAATGCAGCTGAAGTCACTGTGTTTGCAAGGGACTGCTTTATTAATTTCCCTTCAAGACAAATGAAGTCGCTTTGTTTAAATTGCTCACTGTATTCCGCACCACATTAAGGCTTCTAGACCTGTCAGGATGAATGTGAGAGAGGGAGCTGGCAGGAACAATACACAGGAGAACTGCCCATTAAAAAGGTGTGTGGAACTGTTCAAAGAAAAAGGAGTTACATACAAAGCTGAAACTTTCCCTTCTGCTGTAAGACTTGTTTTAGAAACACTGCACAGTTTTCATTAAGGTGTACAAAACTACTGAATTATCAAACCTCAAATTACTCATTCAGAACAGCTTAATTAAAATTAATGTAATTGAGACTATATTCCCTCTGCTACCTATATCTGTACAGCATTGTAAATGATGTTGGAATAGTTATACCTGAGCTACCACATTGCAAACAGCTTTATAGCACCTCAGCGCATACGCCAGCAAGGAACTGTTTTGTATTTGTCCTGGTTTTCATCATATTCTTTTTTCTAAGAGTCTGCCAGGCTTAGAGGCAGCTTACTGGGCTAAATGAACCTTTATTCTGAGCCAGTATATATATTTTGTTAACGTTCTTTCTGTATTTACACAGTAGTTTTACATTTTCCAAACACTTTCCCATCATTAACTCCGAAGGCCCCACAGGTTTCATCAGTAAATCAAACGCATTCAGCAGTGTTGCCGGGTGCTGAAACTGGCTGGCACAAACAGTCCATTTCTGTGCAAGAAAACCCTTAAATTACAAGATGTCAGCAATCTGTTGGGAACAGTCCCTAGGCTGCTTACATACCCAGGAGTGTCTGCGCCAGGAGTTCTTTGGGTGGGTGAGAGGGCCAAACCAGCAGTGGTCTGGTTTTTCAGCGGTGGGGGTGACCACACTGTAGCACAGGAGAGTGACCCGTGCCACTCATCAGTGCCCAGTGCAGCTGTCCCGTAGCATCCCTGGTAGGAGCTGGCAATGCCATTTGGGAAATGATTCATGGACTTGCCCCCAAAAGAGCCAGCTTGATGGCTGTGCTGGGTTCTCTTTGATGAAGTGACCAGCTTGGAGCCATACATGGCCAGCTTAGGTATCTGACGGTCTATTCACATAGGTAGATCAACTTTTCCTGGCCAGATTAGGTCCAAGACATATTTTGTCCAAACCCCCTCCTTTCTTTTCAGTTTTGCCTAGTGTTTGCTTCTTAAGCTATGGACCAGTTGCTGTGCCTTGCCGTGGGAGATCACTGGAATTTGCTGTTGAATAACATTCAGATAGTCGGCACCGAGCCTCCCGAGCTGTGAGAGGCTTGTCTGCTACGGTGTGGTGTGACTGGCTTGGTGTGTGCCCCTGCCTGTCCCTGCGTTGTCCCAGGATGTTTTTGCAAGCCCTAGTTAAGCTATTCAGTGGGCATTTGGAATCACAGAATGGTTTGGGTTGGAAGGGACCTTAAAGATCATCTAGTTCCAACCCCCCTGCCATGGGCAGGGACACCTTCCACTAGACCAGGTTGCTCAAAGCCTCATCCAGCCTGGCCTTGAACACTTCCAGGGATGGGGCATCCACAGCTTCTCTGGGCAACCTGTTCCAGTCCCTCACCACCCTCTCCGGGAAGAACTTCTTCCTGATATCTAATCTAAACCTCCCCACTTTCAATTTAAACCCATTACCCCTTGTCCTGTCACTACAGGCCCTTGTAAAAAGTCCCCCCCAAGCTTCCTTGTAGCCCCTTCAGGTACTGGAAGGTGCTATAAGGTCTCCCCAGAGCCTCCTCTTCTCCAGGCTGCACACGCCCAACTCTCTCAGTGCAAATGTCCTAGTATTTTTTAACTGTGTGAGAAGTCTATGGGAAAAATGGCACCACGCTCACACTCCTAGCCAGGTCCTCTTCCCTCTCCTTCATGTGGCTGCAGCCCAGCAGCTCCCTGCTTTTTCAGAGCTGGGGACCTGGGAACTCACCTGGCTTCTTGCTGGGAGGGCTTTAGTCTCAGGGCATGGCCGGGATCTGCTTGGGTCGAAAGCACAAAAGTGTCATTGTTATTTGTAAAAGATTTTTTTAGAAGTAGTTGCGAGTGGCCTGCTTTTTCCTGGGGAGGGCTCTCCTCCTGCGGCTGCCTGCACACAGCCTGGCTGGTGTGTCGGGCAGACAAGGGGGAGTTTCAGGTTCTTATCTTGCACAGTGCCTGCGGCATGAAAGGCTGCGGTATTTTCAGGCAACACTGCTGCGCTCACTGATGTTGTCCTTTCAAGTCATCTTAAGTTCAGTGCCTTTGAACGAAAGGAAGTAACACTTTAGGACTTAGTGTTTTTCTTTTGGGTGATTGATTGTCAAGGTTTGAGGGCTTTTGCTCAGTGAAGTAGAATTTCTAACTTTTTTTTTTCCCTCTCTGCTCTTTTAACCAATGAGTATAATCTTCTAATTCAGCTTAATAACATCAGCGTGAGTCTGGTTATTTCTAAGGTATAAAGCTTATCTTTTATTTTAATGTTTCCCCTTACAGCTGACCTGAACAACGTCAGGTTCTCAGCGTACAGGACTGCCATGAAACTCCGCAGGCTGCAGAAAGCCCTCTGCCGTAAGTATGTGCCTGTGCCTCACCCGCTGCCGGGAAGACTTTATGACCAACGCACAAGCTATTTACAACTTTCAGAAGCAGAGAAACACCCCCACATGTCCCCCCAGCTCTGCCTGGTGCACAGAAACCTCTCACTTGAGGGGTCGTCTGCTGCCACTGGTTTGCACGTTTCTTAAGAAACCAAAGTGCTGGGCAGTCTGTGGATCTTTTGCAAGACAGAGCAGTGGATCAGAAAAACTAACATCCCCTCCATGTTTCTTACCTTTTATACTCTTTAGCCAGGTATTTTCACTGTGCTCATTAGTGAATCCAGGTCCTGTGTCAGGCACAGCTTTACAGCTCAAGCCCAACAGGATTGTCTATGAGGAATGATGAGAGTTGAATTGCTCCAGAGCTGCAGTTGTTAATGGTTTGTTAAGTTGAATCTTGAACCCTGAGGGGCTGTTGCCTTTAAGCAAGATCATGGCAATAAACATTTAGCTTCACTTTTCCCCAGCTTTTGGCTATGTTCAGAAGTCTCTCATCAGCCATACATCAGTGATGTGCATGTTACAGCACTTAAATTCTCATCTGGTGTATGGTAGTCTACCTGTCACTGGAGTTATGTTTCCTTTTCAGCTTATTGTAACCTGATAGCTAAATAATTAGCTCATAGTTTTCTTGGTAGGCCAGTCAGTTGCCAAAACAAGTGGTTTATTAGGTGGGACAGTTATTAGTGGGAGGTTATTAGAATATTTTAACTTTCACTATTCGTCGTTTAATGGCAGGGTTAAATTTCTGACACATTTGCAAATGTCTCAAATTTGATTTATCTCAGGTTTGGATCTGTGCTCACACGCTTTCTGGAACTGTGTCAAACCTCGATACTTTTGAGCATGTTTACTTTTAGGCTTATAAGCATGGGTGAATTCCACTAGTGAACAGATTTAATTGCTGAATGTATAAAAAAATAGGAAGGAAAAGGGCGGTGGGGGGAGAAACCAATAAATGAAAATTCTTGTAACTCAATGAAGGGTTTCAACATGAGTGCAGTGACAGTGAATTTTGACGGTCAGAAATACAAACATCTTTCCATGACACAGCACTCCTGCCACACTCATTGTGGAAAAGTAGTTTAAAGAAATTGAAGTGATACACAGTGAAAGGTGTTATAATTAGTGCAGCACTGAAGTAAAGAATTAAAATTCATGTTTCTCTAGCTGGCAGTGCACAAGCGTGTCTTGTAACGGCGTTTGATTGCTGATAGTGCAAAACTTTGCATCCTATTTTATCTGTATTACCCTGATTCCTGCCAGTGAATAATTACAGGCTCATCTTGGACTTTACGGTATGGAATTGTAATTATGCACTGAAGTCAGTTAATCTCTCGAGGTTACACTTAGGTAGATGTTCTGAGACTGGATGTTTTCAGAGACAGGCAGTGGCGCTTACAGTGATTACTTTAGCACATTCTTCATACTTGTATCTAAGGAGAAGTATTTAAGGAATTTGGTTAGCTGTCTTTGTTCTTACAAATGTTTTTGCTTGGAGACACCATCGTTGTATTTCTGTGTTCTGTGATTTCTGTGTCGCTTGTGAACTCAGTTTAATTAGATTATTAAAAAAAAAAAAAAACCACCAAACCCTCAACTCATTAAAAAATTCCTTTTCTGCAGTTTGGCACTAGTAGAAATAGAATGCAGTACTGGGTTACAGAGGTCCTACACATAGCCAAAAATCTCTAAATTTCACCTGCAGTAGGTGCTGCTTTCAGCTTTTTTTATTTCAGTTGTAAAATTGCATGAGTTAAAAAAACCCTGTGTTTTCTGCAAACTTCATAAAAAGCAGAGCAGTGTTGTCTGCAGAGGAGCCCTCTAACAATGTATGCACTGTAGAAGGCCCACAGAATGGGAGGCACAGCCTGTTCCTGGGTGGCAAGAATAGAAACACTTTTAAAAATGAACTGTTCTTAGACTTGATTCTTTTCAGTTTGTAAATTAGACCAATGAATGTTAAGATACCAGGAGATTAAACCCAAATAAGAATATGGAAAATGGTGTTCCTGAACAAAGAAATGCTTGGGCATTGTTTTACGGCAGGAGAGTCTAGTGTGTGGCTGTTTGGTCCTAGACTTAGAAATTACTGTGGGCATGCCAGGTGTAACTATTGCACTGTTTTTTCTTTTAATGTATGGTTTCCTTTGATAATCACATCAAAGCATGCTGACTTTCTTGTTTTGCTACTTTTGCACGGTCTGATCTTCAGGTGCAAACCACTACGGAATAGTGTGATGTCAGTAAAGTGGGAGGTATTCACAAACTTCTTGGAGATGCAGCGAAAGGAAATATTCAAGAACTTCTGTTAGGGTGATTTTTTCCTTTAATTTCATACAGGATAGATTAAATATATATTTTTAATGTTATCAGCCAACAGCAGCAGGCTACAGAGGAGATAATCTTGCATTCTGCCAGCATCATTAATACTTTTTATCACCAGCTACATGTTGAGTTTTCCCCAGGTTCGGTACATGACCTCCACAGCATACCTTCTCCTGCCTGTTAATTGTCACCTCTGTCCTTCAGTTGGTTAGTTATTCCAGGTCATCTTTTACACTTTCCCTGCAATCTGGCCACAGTTTGGTGTCTAATTAAAAATACCCTAATGTTTTTTCTCTTGTCTTAGAGGACAAAGGAATATTTATATGGATGACTTTATATTTTAAAATAAGCTAGAAGGTACTGCTCACACAGATTTTGGAGTCAGTTTTGGAATTTTAAGTGGAAAACAAGAGTGGCAGAGAACCCCCCAAAAGTACGAAGCATAAAGTAGTATCATTATTTCAGTTAAAGCTTTGCAGATCACTGAATGGCAATGAATATGCAACTCTTAAATTTATATCTGACTGTTGGGGCTTGTCTTTTTAAAGTCTGTCGTCATTCATAGGACCTCTATATTTGCTTTCAGGAAAGAAATATGCAATTCCTCCTCCTGGGTGAGGACATACATACACACACCTACCCCATTTGTTTAATCTTGGTGGGAAAGATGCAGGAGGAGCTTAAGATGTTGAAGGCCAGAGCCGCTCTTCTTCCCATTAAAAGAAATTCCTTAAATCAGAGTGTGTTGGCAAGCACTTCTTGCTTGTTATAAGATGAACGTGTGTCATTAACTGCAAGATGGGATGGGAGGTTGATGAAGAGCAGGGTGAAAGGCTTTTCAGAAGTTGCCGCTTATTAGTGGGAAAAGCTTTCACGGAGTGGAATGACCCATGTTTAGCAGTAGCTGCATATATAATTAACCTGCCACTCGGATGCCTGAGGGGTTCATTTAATTACCGTTGATTCATAGTCTCAAAGGAACTGAGAGTTCAGCCTAAAGCTGGAAGTTAAAGGTGTTGTGAAGGCAGAGTTCTATTGCCATTTTGGCTAATACATTATTAGAAGAAAGGTGTCTTTCTAAGACTCCAAGGAGTGCGTCTGATAAATATGCCTCTGTGGGATATCACACTGACCTTAGAATAGTTGCATTTGATATGCTAGTAAGTTAAATATAATATTCCAAAATATTTTATTTTAATATCTGTATGCTAATGTGAAAAAGTAAAATTAAATAAAACCCTGTAGAAACCCACACATTCAAAGTGAAATCTCTTGGTATAATAATAGAGGTGGCATTCCAGGCTTTCCTTATTCGCTCTAGCGAATGGGTATGTCAGGCACACGGGTGAAATTTTCAGAAGTGCTTAAGGGATTTAGTAGCAGAACTTCCTATTGATTTCCAATGAAGTTTATATTCCTGAAAATCTTCTGGCAGCTATGAAATCTCAGTGCACTGCCCATGCAGTATTACCAAGCAGCCCTGTGTGCACCTGAAGTAATTTTCATCTCCACTAGGACATCAGAGGGTCAGCTTCATCCTTGGTAAAAACAGGATACTCAAGTGTGAATTTGGCAAATATACTCTTTAGCTGGATCAAGTTCTGAAAAAATTCCTATATGGGGTTCTGCATTTAGCCTCTACCTGGGTGTTTGGGTCTGGGTTTGGGGGGGTTTTTTGATGTTACCAAGAGATGTTGCTTACCAGGACTCAAGAAAACACATTTGTATTCCACTGAGAGAAGTTGGGTAATTTCATTTCCCAGTTTTGTGTAGAATTTCCTGGATGATTTGGGGCAGTTCATTTTGGGCCAGATGCTACTCCCTCGAGTCATGTTGAATCCCGCTGCACTTTGTGACTGCTCATGGTATGAGGAAGACTAACAGCATCTGGGCTTTCATGTCTCCATTGCTCACACCCTGGAAATACACTGCAAGGAATTACAGAGGGGTTTCATGTGGCAGCAGGAAGATCTGTATCAATAGTCTCATTTTTCTGATTCCTTTTGTTCTTATTCCTGTGTTACTTCAGAGACTTACAGGATATTGTTTTATGATTTGGTGTCCCCCAAAGTGTGATGGTGCTGGAGATGTTACTATGCAGAGGCTAAAAGCTGAGAAAGGGAAATTATGCTTTGCAGTGGGCATCTGGATTTCATAATGCAACTGACTTAGAATTGGTACAAAATTCAAGTTTTTAAATGTCCGTGAGGAAAAAAACGCATTTGTTTTGACTGATAAGTTTAAATATGTCTTATTCTGTAAAGTCATAGAGGTATTTATATTTATAAATGCACTGAAGAATTAAAAATGGATAAATTTCATTAATAAATACTCAGATAGGCCATTTAGCATTTCTGGAATCTTCTTTTTGCTGCTCTCACCAGAGGAAGACTAACAGAGAGGTTAATCCCAGTTCAATTGTGATTTGTTTGCATATTCCTTGTGGGGTTTGGTTCAGTTAAGATTGCTTGTCTTCTGTAAGAAATGGGCAGCACATCTCAGGAAAAAGCTGATGACATACTATGTTTAGAACACATTTGGTGAATGCAGTGGCCAAATATTAGCCTGTCTGTCTGTAGGAATGTAAAACATGGAATCTGTGATTTTCACTTACATAGTAATTTTTGTGTAGTATTTCCACAGGATTCAATAGCATAATAGGTACTCTGCAGCTATAAAGGAAACAGTGTATTTATTTTAATAAACACTGTCCCCTAAGACCACAGCTGAATAAACAGTGCACCTGTAGGAGTCTTGAAACCAGTCTTGCACGTGACTTTCAGAGGACATAAAATGTCCTCTGTCCAGGCGTGTAAGCCAAGTAAATTGTTCTATTTGCTTTTTGGGTATGGGTAACACAACTGCTGTTACTCTTCAGTCTTTATTAAGTTTTGGTTTGGCTTTTTTCACTCTAACAGTGGATCTCCTGAGTCTGTCTGCTGCATGTGATGCCTTGGACCAGCACAACCTCAAACAAAACGACCAGCCGATGGACATTCTGCAGATCATTAACTGCTTGACCACCATTTATGATCGACTGGAACAAGAGCACAATAACCTGGTCAATGTCCCTCTCTGCGTGGACATGTGCCTCAACTGGCTGCTGAATGTCTATGACACGTATGTAGGGGTGCGCCGAGCGCGGGGTGCTCAGGAGCTTTCCCAGCAGCACAAGGGAAAGGGGGAATGGGTAACGAGCCATCTGTCTCATTATAAAGTGAATGGCTTGAAGCTGAAAAAAAGGGTAGTTGAAGTTTAATAAACATAATGGTTTAATGGCTGCATTTAGCTGAATCAATACAGCCTTTGGTTAGGTTTATAATCCTAGATTTATTAAGCTAAGCAATGAGAGAGCTGGAAAACAGAACTTTTAAAGCAGATTTCTGTGTTCAGAGCAATTCGGGGACCACATGTCCTCAGTAAGTCATGGCTTTGCATGGCTTTTTAAATTCCTTTACACAGAAAAATTGAAGAGAATTATCACGAAGCAGTAGTATGAATACCATTGTACAGACTCTTGCATGTGTCTGTACTTCTGGATGTTAAACTTTTTCAGAGCTCTCCGTTTTCTGTGGGTTTCAATCTGTAATTCTTCCTCAGACATTGAAGAGGCTCATCTATAATCTGCTGTGCGTGCAACCCATCGCAGTCAGATTTGAGAAATATTTCACCCAAAATGTAAACGGAAAAAGTGTACCTATAATTATGAATACAACAGAGTAAATTTACCTTAAGAAAATTTATGGGTGTTGCTGTTCAGTGGCTTAATGATGTTGCTCACAATGCATAGTCAAATTCTTGTGCATTTTCAAGCTAATTTTAGAATAAGCTATCATTTTTGTATTTGGTAAAAAAAAAGGTGTCAGTGGAAGTCTTTATTTGTCTTTTACCCAGCCACCTTCAACCAGACATACTGATTACTGTGGCAGAATAAACATTTACATATAGAAATGGAAGGACATGGGTCAGTTATTGTGTTTCCACTGACATTTTGAACCCTGCGGAGGTGAAGTGCCATCGCGTTGTTCTTCCATCCACCCTTTATCACGGCACTGAAGCTTTGGAGATCACCTGCCCAAACAAAAGTACAGATCTGTGCAGAGTCTCTTCCCGCAGGATCGCCTCTGATAGGCCGTTGCTTACAACATCCTCTGCAGCGGCTGTGGTATCCTCTGAAGTGGATTACCCAGATTTCTTTAAATTTTTGCGTAGTGTACCGGTAGTAGGGAATGGTGATACATTCATTTCAGAGCCAGGTTTTATTTCTTTAATCTGCTTTGGCTTTCACAGAACTCTGATCCAATCCACTTCTGAATGATCATCAACTATAAATAACATACAAACAAAGGCACCCAGTCAATGACAGACAAAAAAGATGTGCTAGGGATGTTAATCCAGATCAGACACATTAGAGGCAGAGAGGGAACGAAAGGTCATTCCACAGGCTGCTCCTCAGATGGACCGTCCAGTTGAGATTTGCCGTGTCCAGTCTAGTTTTCTTTTTGTTGCACTGTGCTGAAAGCACAACATTAGAAATTATAATTGGCTGCCTCCCGGCAATTCCCTAGGTATGCTGGGGAGCTGCACGTTGCAGGACACAATGAAACAGAGAGGTGTTTTAATGTGTGAGGAAAGCTCGTAGCTATTTTGCCGATACTCCGGTTTGAATTAACGCCGGCAAGAGAGGTGACCTTGGGGTTACATGTGTTTAGTTTTCATTGTAAACTTAATAGGCAGAGATCAACCAAAGTGCATAGCAGTACTGGAGACATTTAATTAAATGTACTGAATCTTTACTTTTCTTATAATTGAAAACTGTCATTTGTAAAGATATGAATCAAATTCACAGTCAATGACTGATCTAATTATGGGCACAGCTCTGCAAATCCAACACGTTTCAGATTTGTTTTAATTGATCAGTCACTCATGCTCATTTGCAGTAGCATGATAAATTATTGGTTTGACTTGAGAGGAGAGGAGAGTGAACTGAACAACTCGTGATTCGTGCAAGTTTCAATTTAATATGCCTTGCAGGGAAATCATCATTCTACATTCTTCTCTTGTATAATTTGTGTGAGCCTGGTATTCATCAGCAGGAGTTTCTCAGGGCACAGATGATAATTAATTTGGAAGAGATTTGAGGGAGAGGAGTAAGAGGAGTGGAACGTGGAAAGCAGAAGTAAACAACAAATGCTTATTCGTGATGGAAAAGCCAAAGTTCTTTAGTAAAAGGTTGCCAATTCGAAGTTCAGCTTCGTCCACCAGTTTTTGTCTGTGACTTTTAGAGGGTTTGCAGGGGAGATACATGGGAAAATGAGCACCGCTGGCTCCTACAACGCTTTTGTACCAATAAAAAGACAACATGCATCTGTGCCAAGCAGTGCAGCCTGATGCATGACTGTGGCATGCCTGATTTATCTTATTTCCAGCGGTGTTCTTACTGGTGGATGCTTCAAAGCTGTTGATAAGGCTCCACTTCAAAAACAGCAGGTTTAGGCATTAGCTTCCTATGTTGTGTATGTCTTTGTTTGCAGTTGATGTTACATATTTGAAATGCCACCAGAAATATGTCTTGGGGGAAGCCATCAACTGGCAGTAAATTGAGCTCGACCAGATGACTGAGAGACGTGAAGGTTTGTCGTTGCGTCGCCGGCAGTGCAGAGGAGGATGCACTTGCCACAGCCTTGTTAAAAGGCAGCAGTAATAGGGCGGGTGCATCACAAGGCAGGAGCAAGCGTGAGGGAAAGGGAAGGCTGCCCGGAGGCAGCACAGGGACCGATGTGCGTACCAGCCCCTTGGCACTGCGCAGGACAGGTCTGAGTGCTGCGAGGAGCTCAGAAAGCTCACCGTGATGTTAGTGGCACGCTGCACAGCCTGCCTGCCTCCTGGTGATGTCTAGGTGAGCTTCATCACTCACCTGAACACCTTGCGAGTGCCTCCATCGCTGCACACTGCTGGCAGATGCTGCTTTTTCGTGCCTGGCTCCTCCTCAAGCAAGTCAGGGCAGGGCTGACAGACAGTAAGCAAAGACTTTCTAAAAACCACTGCTGCACTGCGTTTCTAATTAAAGTGAAGTTGTGTTGTCTTTGGCAAAAGGGATGTTTCCTGTTCCGTCAGGAACCCCGTCTTCCCTGAGAACAGCAGCAGTTCATGGAGAAGCCTTTTCAAAGCAGTGTAGTGCAAAACCTCTCACTTCTGTCGTAGGAAAGGAGGCGAGTAATTCTTTCCAAAGGAGACTGTGAGCGAGTCGTTCCAACAGCACACTGCAGTTCGGCTGCGCCTGTGGAGCCACAACCGTGTGTTGTATTTCAGTTCTCTCTCATCTAGTGACTGGCCAGTGTGTGCTGTGCAGCAGGGTTCTGTGTGAGACGTCACGTATGATGACTGTGGTGCTGCAGCGAGCTTTGTTACAGTAAGCAAATCATGACATGAGTATATCGTATTATCACTTAATGTTTCTTTTTCCATAGGGGTCGAACAGGAAGGATCCGTGTCTTATCTTTCAAAACTGGTGTTGTATCCCTTTGTAAAGCACACCTGGAAGATAAATATAGATGTAAGTCAATCTAAATCTTTTGGGCTTAGTTTATGTTTATATTTTGTTTTCATTCCTCCTGTTTATTGCATAAACATTCAAGGAACATACAGAAACATTCTTTTAGATGGCCTAGATGCAAAGTGCGTTAATTTGCTCCACCTTGTCCTTTTAAGTTATTTGTTCAGTGTGGTTTTCAGTAGTTTAGCACAGTGGTCCCCAAACCTTTTTGATCATGCAACTCTATCGATAAAAGCTTTTTAAGCACGCACCCCCAATAGATGTTTATTTACTTACAAATTATATACGTGTACTACTGCACTAATGTGCTATGTGCATTATAAAACATACACAAAAATAGAAATTAAAAAGTCATGAGATAAAGGTGAAATAAACATTGAGTTCAATTACTTTTGTTTATTATAACAACAAAAAATATTTTCTTGCCACATCCCAATGGATTGTTTACACATCCCCTGTGTTGGACAGCCCCCCCTTTGGAGACTGCTGCTTCAGCACACCTTCATACACAGAAATGCATGTCTACATGACATCTACTATTACACTATTTTTAAATACATTATTTTTTTAAAACGTGATCCACAATCTGCTAAAGGACTTACTGTGTACATTGTGATTAAATATAGTTGCTATCTAAACAAATATTAGAAGTATACAAATTTTGCATATTTTAATAGACCAAATTGTGATATACTTGAAAAAAATTCCACTTGAAGTTACGTGTCACTAGTGAATCGGTTCATTAGTGAGGCTAGGATCCAGAAAATATCTACTGATAAAAGTTGTTCTCAGGACTACTTTCTGGTTAAATTAACTGACATCAATCTTTCATCGATTTAAAAAAAAAAAAAAACCCAAACAAACAAAAAATACTAAAAAAAACAACCTTCAGAATTTGACCCAATACCATAGCAGTGCTTCATCAGTTGTTATTATTCTATTCTTCTCCTAATGAAAGTTGAAGAATGCTAAAGAGAAAACAGACAGTTCCAACAACGGAGTCTGTGCATGACTATGTATATATAATTGGATCAGATTTTAGGGCAATCACTATGAATGTCACAGTTTAGATCTCTAGATGTTTCATGTGGGTGTTGTGAAAAAGTATTCAGAAAATCTTTTAAGAAAATTACTCAGTACAGCTATTTTTCAAAATGATATTTCATTGAGGATTATCAAAGTTATAAAAGAAAACATTTATTCATATTTTATAGTCTCCCGCAGCGTATGCATGATAAATGCATAGCCCCCTTTTACGGTCGTAGAATGCTTAATGTTTTGATGGTAGGGAAATTGAAAGCTGAATAGTTTGTGAGAGAGGAAGGAATTGTCTTCTTCTCCAGGCTGTGGTCTGGCTTCACCGTCCCTGCCAACGTTGCAGTGCAGTTGCTATTGGGATTGCTGCAAGTATGCAATGAGTTGCACCCCTTACATTTTTTTCTCTCATCTGTGCAGCAGAGCAAGAGTTGATTGTGCTGAAGCACAAATCTTCAGGCTTGCAGAGGTGATGGAAGCATTCATCCCAAAATTATTTATTACAGAACTACACTTGGCAAGAGTGAAGTTCACGGAATTAAAAAATAATCCCTTCTCTACCATTCCTTTATTCCTTCAGAAGAAAACAGATGTCAAAGGAGTGCTAGGAAAGTCATCTCGAGCAGTGCTGAAGCACCTTTAATTGTATCCCTGGTGTCGGGTGAAATATTAAGGCAGCTCCAAAAAAAGGGCATTATTTCATTCTAGCAGTCTCTCGCACTCTTTTAAACTCTTTGAAAAGTAAGGAGGATTTATTCAGGTCATGTATTGTCAACAAGGATATTACCAAATAAATATTTCAGTTAATGCTAACCTGATTTTTCTTATTATTATGAACTCTAAAACCTCCTTAGTGTATGTGTAGAATAACTAATTCCCACCCAATTAAATTGAGCTTATGGAAGGATAGTAATTCTGTCCTGAAAGGATTCTTTTCTCGAACAATGCAGTAACAGAACATGGCTTCAAGTGACAGTTCACTTTAGAAGTGAAAACTTATATGATATTAACATTCCTGGTGGATGGCAGGTTCTGTCGTACTGTAACGTCTTTCTTTTATTTTAGAAATAGTCTTGGATTAAAAGATTGCGATATATTGAAGTCAGGGAGCTCTTGTCTTTCAGTTCAACTGGTCTGAAAGAGAAATGGATTCTCTTGAGTTGCACGTTGATTGCTGAGACTTGAAAATGTGCTGTATGTTGTACAAGATTATTTTGCTGTTAAAGGGTGTCCTTAAAACATGTACGTGGTTCTGGCCTCACCGTCATGCTGTTTAGTTTAGTTGTTGTGGAATCACAGCTGCTATTATCGGTAATGCCACAGGTGCTGTGTTATAATGGCCTTTCTTCCCAGGTACAAGCCAGTAATGCGATTAAAAATTATCACTAGATTGCTTATTTAATAGAAAAAAATCCAAACACTAAGTGTTTATGGGAAGAGCAGCAGCCAAACTGAAGACGCATTTGTCTTCGTGTCCGCCCAGGCTGTTGACCACACTTGGGAGCCTTTGAAACAATGCGAACTTCTGCGCCGTTTGCTGTGTCCTGGCTGTGATGCTTTAGCACGGGTGTCCTTTTCCTTCCTCCAGACCTGTTCAAGCAAGTGGCGAGCTCCACCGGCTTCTGTGACCAGCGCCGGCTGGGGCTGCTGCTGCACGACTCCATCCAGATCCCTCGGCAGCTGGGGGAAGTGGCCTCCTTCGGGGGCAGCAATATCGAGCCGAGCGTCAGAAGCTGCTTCCAGTTCGTAAGTTCATGTTTGCTCGCTGTTCATTTTCTGATTTGTATTTTGTGTCGGGAAGCTTGTCCGTTTTGAAGGGGATTGAAAATCTGGACGAAGGATTAAGGTACCGAGAGTCGTTTAATGACGGTGCTTGTTGCTGTATTCAGCTGTTGCTTTGATGAGATGTATTTGAATTAGCCCGTTTCTCTGACTGTGGTGGAAGAAGCACAGATTATGCTGTTATCTAGACAGAAATAATTCTCATCAAGGCTTGTATTGTAACTGAACCTGCAAGCAGTTTAAGTCTTTGTTACAGTGGCTCCTGATTTTACAGTTTTCTATTGCCAGCAGCAGAACACCATTTATTGCTGCCATGTAGGTTAACAGCAGTGGTTAGTCTAAATTTTGGGCATATACGTACCAGTGGCAGCCAGGTGCCCAAGGGAGCAATAGGAAAGGAGTGACTGCATGTAACGCTGTCTAGGGGCCAGGATCGCTCGATGAGCTCCTTCCAGTGCTTCAGTGGATAATGCCAGCTTTCTTTAAAGAGCACTGAAAGAACTCCTGTCCTGTCTGTTGAGGAGTGCATGGGGAACTGGAGGCTCTTTTTCAAACTTGTAAATTATTTAATCTGGGAAGGAAGAGAGTTAAGGGAATTATTCATCCTTATCCTAACCACCAGCAGAATGCACAAGATGAAGACAGCTGCTTAATGAAAAGGTAGGGGAGGGGAGGTAATCTATGGTCTGTGATTAACTCTCAATGCATCTTCTACATTACAATGGAAGAAAGCTTTTTTCCCATTCCCTAACTGTCCCTGGGGGATTTTTGTTTGGTTGGGGGCGGGAGGAGTTGCTTGCTTTTTTGCCTGCTGCTGAAGTTTCATTATGTAGTAGTTTCAGTTGTGTAGTAAGCAAAACACAGCAAGTTATTTTTTCAATGAATATTAATGCTTGAAAACAGCCTTCTTGCGTTCAGTGACTATGAAAACAATCTAATTCTAAAATCACCACAAACTTCAGTTGTGATAGGACGTTTGCTTTCTGTACTTTCTAAACTTCTTTTGTCAAGTTAATTCTACAGGATTCATGTTTTCCCATTTCTGTCATCCGTGCCTTGAACTTTTATAATTATAGCCTGTATTTGATGCCATTTCCAAATGTATGTTCTGTAGGGCCGTGGCCTGGGTGGATAACCCACGCTGGTAAACTACGCACATCAACTTTGATAGCTGGGTTAGACCCCACTGTGGTTTTCAGGCCTCGAGTTCTGTGTTGAGCTTTCAAGTGAGACCAACACAAAATGATGCTGTAGCAAATCCATGGGCAAAAGCTCGTTTGTGCAAATGACCTTCCTCGGAAATCAGGACTGGCTGGGTCCTATCGTTTTCCCAAGTGATTGGCAACATCACTTGGAACGCTGTTTAAAAACTGGTAAGTGACCTCAGAATCCGACAAAACCTTTTTTTAGAAAGGGGGCTGGCATTATGTGTGTTTACATTAGGAAAAATCAATAAAATTCGTAGTGATGGAAGACACAAAACTAGTTTTTATGACATAGGAGGAAGACCTTGGAATAAATGTTCATTTGAATAAAATAAGTTCGCAGCATTGTCATCACAAATGAAGACATGCCAAGGGGCTGAGTGCTGTACCGCATACAGCTGTTGGCATTTCTAGAAACCAGCCAGGCACAGCTGGGCGCAACCTTTGACATGTTCATAAACCACGACATCGGAAAAACTGAGGTTTCATTCTCAGTTTCCCTCTCTTACCTGCACTGAAAAATAGGTTTTCCTCTTACCTGCAGTAAGAGGAACTTCATCCCCTCTTTCTCCTCCGGCGGGTGGTTTCTGACCCGGGTTGCAGCAGAGCAGATGATCTAGGAGGACTCGAAAGGAGGAGGGAGGCTTAGCTGAGGAGGGGAAATAGAGAGATAGAGGGGATGGAGTCATAGAGAGTGGAAAAGAAATCCAAGCGTAAGGAGAGCCCTGATGGAGGCACTAAGGAGTGGGGGGAAGAAAGAGCCCCCCTTTATGGAAGGACAGAAAGAACAGTAGTAGGAATTGGAGTGTTGAAGGGAACAGGAGGGTGGGTAGTGTGAGGCGTGAAAGAACGGGGCAGCCAGGAGTGGAGATGGGGAAGAGATGAGACCCTTCCAGGAGACGGGGAGCACAGAAAGATCCTTTTAGTTGAAGGGGGCGAGGGGGAATGCAGGAGGGCCTCAGGCTGAGGGGCAGTGCCGAGGTGCTGGGGGGGAGCAGGGAGCAGGCTGGAAAATGGAGAGATGGCCATGGTGGGGCTGCACAGGGCTGCCGGCAGCCTCCTTTTGCTGAAGTGAGATAATTCAATTTTTAAAAATAGTGTGGGGGTTCACAGTTTACATTACTGTGTGGAAACTAAATTAAGTCTTTCTTTGTACGCCCACGGTGAGGAGTGCTTTTTTCTTTAGTGGTGGGTTTTTTTTATTTCTTTCTTTTTCTTTTCTTTTCTTTCTGGTGGTGATAAGCCAGCCATAAATTGCTGTCATGTCAGAATCTGCAACAAATGTGTGCTTCAGAAATGGCTCTCCCAGCCCCCTTAGGTTAGGTGCCCTGGCAACGGCCTTGTCTGCACAACAGCAGGAAAAAAGAAAAAACGGGATGTTTACTGTTCCCTGCGATAACAGGGGAAATCTCTCCTGCTTTTCAGCTTTAAGTGGAAGTCCTTGGGAATGAGGGTTGGGAAGGGCAGGCCACCCGGCCCCGCTGCTGGCAGAAGCGTGCCCGCTCCCGAGGAATGGGTCCCCTGGCCGCAGGCTCACGCTACTGCCCTGTTACTTCTCATCTCCCCAGCACCCAACACGTGCTTTTCATGTTCGGAAAGGTGCTGGTAGTCATTGCTGGGAGAACAGTGGTGTTACAGGACTCATCTTTCCTCATCCCATTTTTCCCAGTGCAGGGGGGATGTAATTTCTGCCTTGAGATTTTGAAGAAAATAATTGTTTTTAAGTGAGAGTGAAGAGCTTGATCTCATGACCGTTTGAAGACTTTATGGTTCTGCCTGGGCTCAGTCTGCATCAAAGCAATCTATAGATCCATGAAAAATTGAGTGAATTTAGTATCACTGCACTGTGAAAGCACTCTCCTTTTAGATCTGTAATGGGTACATTTTTTTAAGTGAACAGGATAGGGAATTGTTACGGACTAAAGGACAGACGCGCTGTGTTTTAATCACAGTGGAAAATTATTAATATGCTTTCCTTGTGTAGTGTAAATACCACCTAGGAATTCACATCTCTGGCTTGGGTGAGTTACTGTGACATTGGGGCGTTGAAGAAATGCGATGTGAAAACAGAGTGCAGCTCGGATGAAAATGTCTCTTGCTGTTTCTCAACAAAATTTTGGATATTTGGCTCTTGGTTATGAACTGTTTTAAGTATGCTTTCTTCTGAGGGTGTACTTGATATGAAAAACCAGTACAGATGAAGCTGAGGAGCAGTAAAACATGTACACTTAATTCATATCTGTATGTTAGACCTTCTTGTTTCATTTCACTTTGACAGAGGAAAGTATTTTAATAATCTGTGTTGTGCAGTTGTCATTTCTAGGTTTGTACTTGGTCAATGATTGGGTAAAATCAACCTGGTTTTTACCACCTCCTAACTGTGTCCAAATCCAGTGTATATACTCAGACAAATAAAAGCCAAAATTGTGGCCTGCCAGTCTTTTTAGGTGAAGTTTGGGTGTTGCCACTCCTGGGCCAGGACCATGATAGTGGCTTTGGCTATAAATGCTGGGTTTTGAGTTGGTTAGGCAGTTGTTTTGTGAGGGGTCGGTTAGGTTTGGTGGTTTTGGCATTTTTTTGGAATAGTTAGGAAATATCAATTCTGTGTACAAGTAACTATGTATAGTTATATAGAGGTCTGTGTAAAAATAACATACAAATGCAACATTACTGTTGAGGGACTTGATCTCTTTTGAGAGATCCAGGCAGCCCTCATTTCTATTGATAAGATATTTCTTCTGCTTTTGGCTCTGACAGAGAGAGCTGGCGTGAGGATAACTAGCAAATCCTTCCTCAAGCTACTGTTCTGTAAATGTCATAAACCTGCAATTCTGGTTTTATTTCAGGAAGGTTTTGTGAACCTGTGCCTGACTTTGGGAGGCACTCTTCAAGAGTCCTTCCAGTGGAACTGCTTTAAAGAGCTATTTTAAAGCATTTCAGCGTATAGGGATTAGAAGATGATGTTTTTGGGGTGTGGATGATACAAAACTATACACCAATTCGCTTCTGGGTTCATGGGGTGGTTTTATTGTATTACTTTTTGATTCAACAGTAGAAACATTGCCTGGTCAATGCAATCAAGTGTAATGCAAGGGGCCAAAATAACGATCTTAAGCTTTTGCTCTAGTGTAGAGGCGGATTTAAGCAGTTTGTATCACCCGAAGTTACCTTTAAAATAAAGGTAACTTTCTTGACCACAGAACAGCACTTCTCTCAGAAATAGAGTCATAGAATCACAGACTGGTTTGGGTTGGAAGGGACCTTAAAGATCATCTAGTTCCAACCCCCCTGCCATGGGCAGGGACACCTTCCACTAGACCAGGTTGCTCAAAGCCTCATCCAGCCTGGCCTTGAAGACTTCCAGGGATGGGGCATCCACAGCTTCTCTGGGCAACCTGTTCCAGTGCCTCACCACCCTCTCTGGTAAGAATTGCTTCCTGATATACAATCTAAATCCAGACGCTTTCAATTTAAACCCATTACCCCTTGTCCTGTCACTACAGACCCTTGTAAAAAGTCCCCTCCAGCTTCCTTGTAGCCCCTTCAGGTACTGGAAGGTGCTATAAGGTCTCCCCGGAGCCTTCTCTTCTCCAGGCTGAACAAGCCCAACTCTCTTAGCCTGTCTCATGGGAGAGGTGCTCCAGCCCTCTGAGAATAAATACTAAATTAATGACTTTTGTCTTCTTACTAGCTAGCAATGGGGAGAACAGTGACGTATTGGGCGAGCCATTCAAAAGTGAAAATGAGGTTGAGCAGGGTTTGGCGTGACTCTTGGGAGACAGGGCTGCTGTTCGTGGCTTGCTTTGCGTTTTTAAACTTCAGCCAGTCACAAGAATCCCATTCTCTGTTTTCATTTTACCCAAAATAATGCATACTTAGACGAATATAAGGCTTTCCATCCTGGATAGAAAACAGCATTAAATTAAGCATCTTAATTTATTTCCAGTTAATTTCCTATACTGAAGCTAAACAGAATATAGCTTATCAAAAAAGTTATCAGAAATTTATGCTGTGGTGTCTCACTCTGTCCAGAAATGCATTACATTGTTCATGTAACATCACAACTGTATTAAGCACATTTCATATTATGGATAGATAAAGTTAATATAGCACAGACTCTTTTTTTAAACTGCTAGCTGGAAGAAGAGGGGGGAAAAAAAACCCCAAAACTTCAACTTCTAAGGTTTGTATAAAGATGCTAGCACCACTCAACTTCCTATTCCCCCCATTGTTTCTGCAGAATAAATACTGAAAAGCAGATGTCTGGAACATAATGAATTTGAATGTTCCCCATAACAAATTGTTACTTGTAAGCTGGAAAGGGCTTTATGAATTTTGCTTTATGATTCACTCCGTTATTACCATAAAAATTGGGAGTTGCACGGAAATGTGTTCAAGAGAAGAACCATTAATATTCTTTACAGCTTGATCTTGTTGGTTCAGATATGAACTGTATGAATTCAGACTTTTTCCCTTATGTAAAATCTTCAGCTGCTGCCTTTACCGGATTTAGAGATTATTAAAAAAAATTGTAATAGCAGCTCAGGGAACAGTCGAGAACTGTCTGTCCTATACTGTCTGACCCTGACCAGCTTTTCTCCACGTGGCTTTAAATCTTCATGTAATATAATTCGGGACCTGTTCTGATACATTTTAATGCACCTAATCTCTCCAAGCACGGGTTTTGTACAGCCAGCGTGCGGAGCTCTGGGTAGGCAGCTATTGGGACTGCTGGCAGTCGACAGTGACTGCAAAATTAAAATAGATCTTTGGATGTCACAGAAAGCCTTTCATCGCCACAGCATTTTCGCTGCAAATTTAAAGCAGCTACAAGTGGAGACCGGCGCTCTGAGCAGCTCATTTTTATTCTGACTGCAGCTTGCACTGCAGCATTTCTGTACACTTCATGTTTTCCTATTAGAAATGGCATATTAAAGACATCCTCTTAAAATTTTTTTGAGGCTTCGAGGACCTCTGTATGGAAAGTGTGTTGTGCTAGGCAGAATAATGGTGTGTCAGTGTAGCTGCTGGCTGATGCTCGCTCACTGTGTGAGCCACAGAAAATCTCTCCCCAGCCTCTTTACTGCTCTGGCTGCTAGCTGAAAAAATAGACATACAGATGAATATCTTTTATAAATATGCCTGTCTCTTAAGACAGTTCTAGAATTAATTCTGTTGAATTCACTGAAGTCCTGCAGCAGAAGGCAGCATCTGCTGTTCCGAACAAATTCCATTGGCAGTGTTGGCTGGACTTTATTGTACTTCTGATTGTCTCTCTTTTTCCTTCGGGGATATTCCTAAATTCTGTAGCTACATGAAAAAAAACCAGAGGCATAGGATTTAATGCAGAATTCTTCAGAACTGTTTCAGTGTGTGGAAAAAAATAAAAGGTTATTCCATTTCATTTAATGTAGTGAATATTAAATTGTGAGGGACTGGATCTGAATAACTCTAGGTACATTGTGGATTGATTATTTTACCCCAAACATCCATGTATATGCCTGTACTAGAAATCCACATATGTGCACCTAAAATGCAGTCTTAATAGTCTTTAGGTGGTTTCCCAAACCAGCATCTCAAGAAGAAAGCCCTGACCCAAAACCACCTCTTTGTTTCTAATTAACCAAAGTAGTGCAACAGCATTTTAAGTCAGTATTAATGCAATGCATTATTCAGGAGATATTCGGGGAGGGGGGGCGCAGTTCCACATCTTTCTTGTGACCACTGGTTCTGTCTGGGAGTCTGTGCATTTTTCTCAGTCTTCAAGTATTGATCAGTTAATTTGTTTGTTGAGATTATAAACAGTGTTAGCTTTTTAAAAAAAAAAAAAAGCCACCACACAACTAATTGTTTTTCCCTATAGCGCTCTGCCCTTTAGATCAGTTCTCCAAATTCATTGGTAGCATTTTTAGTTCGTAAGGTTTTAGCTAGGTCATACTAAACTCAGTTTTCATGAGAAATTGGGAAAGTAACTGAGGACAAGCATAAAAAAAATCAGAACTCAATCCCATATTCATCTTGGTCCATGTACATGATACATTAATGCTTATTATTTATTTAAATGCTTCAAATAGGTTTGGAACCACAAAGGAAGACAGTCTGCCTTGTGAAGTTTCAAATCTAAAAGACTGGCCCGCAGAGGGCTGTATTTGAAACCCCTGAGAAAAAGGAAAACAGAAGATTCAAATATATTCAGGCCATAAATATGCTGTTTCTGTTGGGTAGCATGGAAGGAAATGTCTCAAGGTATTTGAATTAGCATGCAGTGATGGTTTAGAGAAACAGGGTGGGACAGTGTCCTGGTTCATTGCTTGGGCTGTTCCCTGTGTGGACCCATCCTCTTCCCCTCTTGTCCTCCCCACCAGAGCCCTCTGCTGCTTCCACCTGGCCCATCACCTCACCTTCAGCTCTGAAATCAGCTCCCAGGTTCTCAGAGAACCAGCTTTGTGCGGGCTCTGCACCACCCTGCACGCTGGGGAGACGTTCCTCGTAAACACTGACTCTGTCACTTCACTGTTTTCCTTAAAATCCCTTTTGGGGCTCTGTGCTTTTGTTCCGCACTGTTCTTCGCAGCAGCCAGCTGGCCGGCCGGTACGGTGTGACCTCTGCCTGCGTAGATGGGTCGCCTTTCTCCCCTGTTGCCTTGTGTTTCTTGTCTCCCTGCTCCTTTTTTCCATACTTTTTCCCACACTTTTTTCCATGTAGCTGCTGCCAAGTAGGGGTGATCCATCATGTTTTGGAGTGTGCGCAGTGCCTGCCGCAGTGGGATTCAGCTCTGTGGCCGAGTTGCCTCAAAGTGACCGTAGAAGAGATACCCGAAATAATCATAGTGGTCAGGATGTAATGGGAAGGCAGTGGAGGAACAGGACTGCCGGTCAGTTTTCATAGGCTCTTCTGCTGCTGGCAACGAGGTGAAAGTGGGAGTTCGTGGAATATGAGGCTAAATTGATCATTTTCGGTGGTACAAAACTGTATTGTGTTTGCAGGCAATGCCAGGAAATTTAGAGATGATATGGTGGGAAGAGGGATTTTGAGTCACTTAAGGAGGTAGAGAGGTTACGTGTTCAACACCAGGCTTGAGAAGGGATTTGAATTATTTCCTTAGGCGTGCATTTAGAAGAAAGGTCAGTATGATAATGAAGGACATGAAAGAGAAAGCAATTGTGATCAAAAGACGTGTGATTTTTAGGGCTTGGATAACACAAAATGTTTTCAAAATAGGTGAGAAGCAGTGCTATGCAGGCTCAGATAAAAGCGACGGGAAACATGAGGTCAGGCTTCAAAGGTGATCCTGTAAGTGGATGATTTTCTCTGTGACAGAGTACGTGGTAGTGCTGTCTATTGTAATAGGGAATAAGAGAAAGGGATTTGAAACATTAATAATAGTGTTCTGTCCCGGCCTGAAGGCAGGTCCTGGAGTTTGCTTTTTTTTTTTTAATGAATGCCTGGACTGGGGTAAAAGCTGAAGCATATTCAGGGAAAAGATACAGGATAGGCAGAAAACAAACAGCTTGAACTGTTCCTTAGCTGGTAGTAGACAGATCACATGTCCTCCTAAGCCCCTGTCTGTCCTCCCCCTGTGTTGCAGGCCAACAACAAACCAGAGATCGAAGCAGCCCTCTTCCTGGACTGGATGAGGCTGGAACCACAGTCCATGGTGTGGCTGCCCGTCTTGCACAGGGTGGCTGCTGCTGAGACCGCCAAACACCAGGCAAAGTGTAACATCTGCAAGGAGTGCCCCATTATTGGATTCAGGTACAAACTCATTTTCTTTCCATACATGCTACTGCTTTGGTGGATTAAGAGCCCTGTTTGTTTCCAGGTGAATAGTGTGCTTGATTCTCTGCATGATGTTCAGGGAAAAAATACCTGTGACAAGGCACGAGGGAGAGTGACACCCAGACTGGGTACAGTGGTGCAGGAGTTGAGGAGAGCAAAAATCATCTATCAGTTAAGATACGGCCCTTCCTCTGTGTCCTGCTCTTGCCTGCAGTCTTTCCATGCCTCAACCGAAGTATTGGTGGATTGCACAACTAATAACGATTTGCTTTACATTCAGCCTGTCCTATAGATGCAGTTGCACTTTCTGAGCTGATCCTAATGAACTGCTTTTCTGTCATGGCCTAAAGCAAGGGAGTATCCCAGAAAATTCGCAGACGTGTAAAGCTGCATGTACATTTCCCAGAGAAGGAATGTAGCTGGTGAAACATTAACCTGGAGTGGGGGAAATCTTGCTGGTCTATTTAAACATCTGGATCGACACCATGGTTACTATGGCAATGAATAAGTCACTGTGTTGTAAAATGGCTGTGTGTTGGTATGCCTGTTGAGAATCCACTTAGCAGCTAAGTAAATACTCACTTTCAATTATGCCTGGACTTGTTTCATCACTTTGCTTCGCAATAGCTGCCTTGTATGGTTTCTGTCTTTTTTATGCACGGTCCTCTTTTACCATTGGTATCAGCACTATGGTATCGTGCTGTTTACAAAGAGCTTTCAGTAATTTTGGCTCTAAAACCCAGGTAGACAACAGTAGTAAGCAGCACCACATAGAAAAACCATCATTTTGCTCTAACCTGGGAGAGTATGCATGGTGCTTTTATGCCTGTAGTGGGACAGTGCTTTCACCTATGCGATTACACAGACGGTGGGAAATGGGGGAAAATAGTGAAGGTGTTGCTTTGCTTTCAGTCTGAGTTCTCCTTCAGTGGGGCTGTTCCACTAATCGTGTAAATTCTTCCTCTTGGATATCTTAACTGGGAGAAGATAAATATTACTGAGGAAGAGCTAGGGAGTGAGATGTGAGTAGTTCAACACATGCACAGAGTCTCATTTTCCTGTTCCCAGATACAGTTTGTGAAACTACGGAATGAATTACACGGTTTTGTATAAACAGCCAAAGACACGTAGGTGGAATTGAAAAGTGCAGCACTTGGAAAATCAAAGGATGACAAGTGAATGGATAGTCTGTAGTGAGCATCGAAAACTTGGGAAGCGGACACTGGAGTTTTCTGTTTCCATCTAATTTTACTTGTCTGATCTCATCTGGCTCTTAAATTTATATAACAAATCTATTATCATGATAGTCAAATCCTTCTGTCGCAGATTTTTCTCTGGCTTTGCAAGTCATTGAGACTCTGTACACACTTGTCAAGAAGATACTGTATTGGAAGGCTTTTAGAAAGCTAATACTGTGTGCCTCAGTACGTGTAAAACAATGTTCTTTTGAGGTCATTGTGACTGAACTGCTTTGGGCATTTGGAACAAGACAACCCTTATGCCTCTGGCCCTTTCAAGCACTCCAGCATAGCAGATACAACAGCTAGCTGCCTCACAGAGCTGATGAGATTAAATAATGGCCTCAGAGTGCGTTTGGAGTTTTGCATGGATGGGATGCCATACAGGAAAATTGTTTTGATAGAGGTGCTAGGAAGGACAAAACCTGCCTTGTATGCAGCACTTAGGAGTTTGCTGGAGTGACTTGTTGAGGAGGGCATTACTCACTTGAATTTTACTTCCTTGGGACATTCCGTGTTAGGAGTCATGCTGAAGAGCAAAAGAACTGAAATTAGCCTTATAGAAACAAAAAGCATGGTGGTGGCTTTCGTGTGCTAAGAGAGAGTGATTGTGTAGAAATCTTTGCTGTTGCTCAATGTTAAAAACTTTTTTGAAGATTCAGATCTCTGAACGTCTGAGGCAGCAATACCTGTCCCACAGTGGCTGAGGAGCGTTGTCCAGCATTGCACATCCTGTGACATCTCAGGGAAGAGAACTTATTAACACAGCAAACTTGACAAGGTCATATGAAGCTTTCACGTACAAAGCTCTGAAGTCGTGGTGTTTTTTTCCTTCTCTTTTAGGTACAGAAGTTTAAAGCACTTTAACTATGACATCTGCCAAAGTTGCTTCTTCTCTGGCCGTGTTGCAAAAGGGCATAAAATGCACTATCCCATGGTGGAATACTGCACACCAGTAAGTAGCTGTTTTACTGACCCTTACTGCCCCTTATTATGTAGCAAGCAAAAACTTCATTTCCTATCTGCAAGGTAATGGAGCATTTGGGTGGCTTTTCTCCCCACCAGTAATTAAATCACCTTTTATATGCTATACGTGCCAGCAATTCCTGATGCTTAGTAAAGGATACTCCGATGGTTTGAGGTAAATTGAAGTTCATTGTTTGCACAATGCTATGTTGTAATGTGTAACTGCGTGCTAATGGCTTGTTCCATGTTCAGTGCCACAGTTCACTTTATGGATCATGAAAGAAGCCTGTGATTTCTGTGAATGCGTGTTTATACCTTAGGTCACAACGTGTTCTGCACATCAGTGTGAGATTTTTCTTCCTTTCCTTAGCAACTTTGCCACTTCACTTGTTTTCCCTGCAACACTACGATTGCATTTTTAAATTCTTCACTGTTTAGTAGTACCTTTGTGTTGTGTGATCGCTTGATGATAGACAATACCAGGGAAGTTCTCCGGAGTAGCAAGTTAGATTTCATTTCTGAAGGCTGGAAGCCGGGGCATTCAGTGTGGCACAAGGCCAGATGTGCTGCATTGATGGGGCAGTGAGGGTCTTCACCCTGTTTCACAGCTCTCAAAGGGATCGCTTTTGCGTAAACATTTCTTTCATACCAGGCAGCTAGCAAAGGAATTCCCTATTACTCTCTCAGTGTGCTCCTTTCTCTTTTGGGCCACTCATGATCAGGGCAGAAGGGCTTAAATTAGAGGAGCTGTCAAGTTGTCCTTCCACGGTGAAGCATGACTGAGTTCAGCTGCCTTTGCTATTGTTTGTGGTGGTCTTGAAGCAGTGCACACTCTGTCATTTCCTAGTGTGTTGGGATGGTCCCTAGTCTAGTACTTTGGTCTGCTGGTCAGATATAAAGGGTGAAGGTAAAGCATCAAAATTATACATGGGCTAGCCTCATAAAATTAGTGAATGGTCTTTACATTGTCGTCCAAACAAAAAGGCATGGCCAAAATAGAATCATAGAATGGTTTGGGTTGGAAGGGACCTTAAAGACCATCTAGTTCCAACCCCCCTGCCATGGGCAGGGACACCTTCCACTAGACCAGGCTGCTCAAAGCCTCGTCCAGCCTGGCCTAAATAAAAGTATAGGCTCTCAGCTTTTCTTAGAAACTTAGGAAGAGAGGAAGCAATCTTCCCCTGAAATACTGTAACAAAGCAAAACCAGTCTTTCTGTTAGTTTTGATTTATGGGTATTTATTTGCATTACCTATCAACTTTTACTGTAGCATTTAAATGGCAGTATTTAATCTGAATCTCTGCAAGGCAATTACCGTGTGCTTGGTAGCCTGTTGTTGGTGTTCATTGGCTGCTGCTTCTCAGCGTCCTTCCCCCCCCGGGGGTTGAGGTTACTGGAAAGGGCGATGTGCCTGAGCCGCCACGCAGGGCAGAGGGAAACACTGCCTGGGCAGGTCTGAACAAACTTCTCCGTCGCAGGCATTCCTAGAGCAAACTCTTGGGATCCCACTCATAGGCAGAGTGACTGACTGACCGTGTAAGAGCATTCCTTCCAGCTGCAGCCGAGTACCTCTTTGCTGAATCGGCTGTGGTTTTGTTTTGCAGTTTGCCACTCTTGCTATTAAGTAACATGGGAGATTTGTGGACGGTGCACAGAGTGCACGAACTGTCATCTTACTACTCTTTTCCTAACCTGCTCTTAAGGTTGGGGAGGGAGAATCAAAAAAGACACCCGCACAGCCTGCAGCAACTGATTGCAACACGGGGTCCAGCAGGTTTCTGTTCTCCCTAAAAATACAGATTACTAACAGGCGAACACAGTGGTGAACAGAGAACTTGCAACTGCATCCAGATTGCTGGGTCAGAATAAAGAGCCATTCACAGCCAGTACATTTTTTTGTGAATCCTGACTCCAGCAGCCCATGCTAATGTGCCGTGTCTGCCCGCACCAGCAGCCAGTTGAATTAAAGAAGGATTAACTGGGGAGAAAAAAGTGAATGTGACACACAGCAAGCCCAGATCTTTTTTGTGTTGTTGCTATTGAAAAAATAAACCCAGGCGCTGTGTGACTGAACAAGACATCCACTGAAGCTATCATGCCTAGTATGTAATTGCTTTCTAAATGAATGAAGAGGGTTTTGCAGGTGGCAGAGCATTTTTTTCCTCTTCCTCCAGACAAATCTCTCACCTTAAAATGCATTTTGGCAGACAGGAGACATGTGATGCCTTCTTCGATACATCTCTGCAATAGCTAGATGTGCACAACGAAGAGTTTTGATATTTTTCTTCCCCCTCCATCTTACTTGCAGGAAATTCTGAAGCACTGCAATCTTTAATTCTCCTTAAGGGGGATTTGAGAACTCATGCTAAGTGCCTGAGTGATAGGATAACTTTACATCTCCTGCAAAAGCTGGGGCAGAATAAAGTCAAGGCAGTTCCCTACTTTTCATTTAGACAGAAAAATTGCAACAATTATTCCTGAAAGCAACATAGCTCGATTTATTGTTCAGAGAGAAGGGACTTGTAAAGAGGTTTCAAATAAACTTCTAGGCTGGGATTTAAATGTAGGTTCATTTTTCTGTTTGTATTTAATGAACAGTGACACACCAGCAGAAAAACTGTCTTGTTAGAAGGAAGCACGTTGAACAGAGATACCTTTCTGCAGCTAGCGGTTACAGCTGGGGCCGAGGGCTGGGGAGGGGGGGTTGGCAAGGCGCTTTCTTAAACCAAAGTGGGAGAAGTCAGGTGGTCGTGAAGTTCTCTGTGTAATTGAATAGTTTTGGTTTCAGAATAGGTCTGGAACGTGTTCAGCCCAGCTGCCTATGTATTGCTTTGATTTAAGAGAACTGGGATGCTGAAACTCCACTGTTTCTTCCCTGTAAACCAGTTCTGCTGAGAATTTTGTTTTGGATTATTTGACTTTGAAAATCATGTGGGATAAAACATCTGTCAAGTAAATCAGAAAGTTTGGCTGAAAATAGCGTCAGTCTGTCATTTGGTCCACGTAATAATCACATTTTCTTTGCCTTTCTTGTGCTCCTTGAACATTTTTGAAATGGAAATTGGATCATATGAAAGGTGCCTGCTGCTTCTCGTTGTCACTGGAAGATGTATTTTCTTCTTGGGATTCTTGTGCTACCAGCTCGATCGGGAGGTTTCTGTGCAAACACACCCTTTTACCGTTTGGTTGTCATAGGAAAGGTTCAGGGGAGCAAGAGGAGGGTAACAGTCCCTGGAAGGTCAAAGCAAAGCATCATTTTATTGTTAATCATGCCTGAAAATAATTTATGTCAATGGGAAGCCTGGAGAAGAGAAGGCTCTGAGAAGGCCTCATTGCAGCCTTCCAGTACCTGAAGGGGCTACAAGGAAGCTGGGGGGACTTTTTCCAAGGGCCTGTAGTGACAGGACAAGGGGTAACAGGTTTAAATTGAAAGTGGAGAGGTTTAGATTAGATATCAGGAAGAAGTTCTTCACGGAGAGGGTGGTGAGGCACTGGAACAGGTGGCCCAGAGAAGCTGTGGATGCCCCATCCCTGGAAGTGTTCAAGGCCAGGCTGGGTGAGGCCTTGAGCAACCTGGTCTAGTGGAAGGTGTCCCTGCCCATGGCAGGGGTGTTGAAACTAGATGGTCTTTAAGCTCCCTTCCAACCCAAACCAGTCTGTGGTTCTATGAAGTGCTCAGCACTGAAAATAAACAGAGCAGGAAGAAATGGTTACAAATGACATGGGTGCACAAACTGAACAGAGTGCTGTGCTTAATCCACTTATACACAGACTAAATATGAAGTTTTCCTTTGTTCCCTGCTGATGTACACTCTGTGTTCTGCGGATGCCCGCCTGGTTCGGAGCTCTCCTAGCAACTGTTGCAGCTGGCAGTCGGCAGAGGGAATTCCCTCCTGCTGGAGGTGTGCTAGGCCACCTCAGTAAATTCCCTGTCCTCTGGGTCGTCTGGGCATACTTAATCCCGCCCTTCCCCAGAACGTTTTTACTTCTGATGTCTTGAGAAAGTGATACTTTAATATTATCAAGCATTATCTCTTGAAAATACAGATGCTGCTGTACTGGCTTGTAGGTTCTGCTGTGTCGCTTCTCTGCCAGTAATTGTTTGCGCTGAATTTTCCTGCCAGACAGACTGAGCAGAAAGGAGCCACATTGTTCCAAGCTTTACATGAAGCTTTGTAGGTATTGTCGGTATAGGGATGATTATTGTCCTTTCTGTGAATACATTCCAGTCTCTCTGCAGATTATTTTTCAGGACATCCTTGATTTTTCTACCCAGGCATTTGTTAAAAATACATTCATCTGTGTTTCAGCAGCTCTGTGAAGGTTGGCTTGACTGATAGGTCCCAGCACCTCCTTCCTCTCTAAATAGAATGCATAGAACTCATTAAAAAATGTCAGAAAGATTAACTTTTCACTCACTTCTTCCCTTAAAATTAGATACACTGGAGAAGCGGTATCGTTATGTGGGTCAGGAAGAACTTAATTTACTGTAGAAAAGCAGTATTTCAGGGTCGAGTGTCTCTGTGAGGTGCAGAGGAGGGACTGCAGTCAGAATAAAGTAGCTGAAGTCTTCCATTAAAATTCTTCAGAAAATCGCCTGACTCTTAATCAGGCTCGCAAGAAGCCTCGCATCCTCCCAGCAGATATCCTTTGAACTCTTCCCAGCTCATTCTGGTCTTCAGGAAACTAATTCTGCTTTGTGCTCCTCCGCTGGTCCCTACAGCAGCAAGGAAAGCTGGCTGCAGGCACCGGAGTAGAAAACTGTGTGCAAATTCTACTGTCCTCAGGGTATTGATCTTAAAATGCCTGCTAGCTTCAGATTAAACGGGCACAGGAAGAAATAACTGATCTAAGAGCTTTCAGCAGCTCTCACCTGCTTTTTGTTTCTTTTTGATCGAAATATTAATGGCAGAGGAGGCTGAGGAGGGAAACTGGAAAGAAAATGTACTGAGGGTGTGGGTCTGAATTTCATGGACTGACAAGTCTATGAGATGGAGATGACAACCATGCAGTAACGGTCAGGATCCAGGCAGTGAAGCAGCAGCTGGACACACGGACCGGCTGCGTATCCTTCGTTACAGCCATTTTCGTGCTGAACAAAAAGCAGGCAGAAAGTCCGGAGCCAGGTGAGGAAGAAGCAAATTCTTGTCTAATTATTGCTTGTCCTCTTGAGATCAGCTGAGACGAGGCACGAGCCTGTGGGGGGTTCTGGAGCTTCTCCTTTTCATCCTTCCTCCCCACTAGCAGCGTCTCTGTGTGGTATGTTGTGACGGTGACAAATAAATACAGTTGGCGGTTCCGGAGGTCAGGCTGTTGGCAGCGCCGCTTGGTGCGGCTGCAGCTCTCCCAAGTAACCCAGCAAAGGAAGAGGCAACCCAAAAAACACCCAATAACCTTATGAAAGATGACTTCATTGTGATTTGTGGCTTTCAGACAACTTCGGGAGAAGACGTCCGTGACTTCGCCAAGGTACTAAAAAACAAATTTCGAACAAAACGATATTTTGCAAAGCACCCGCGAATGGGCTACCTGCCTGTGCAAACTGTCTTGGAGGGAGACAACATGGAAACGTGAGTAGCTCTAAAGTGGCTAAGTAGCGATTCATTTGGTATGCTCTTTGAGCTCCCCAGCTGGTGCCAACTCCCTTCACTTCCTAAATGCATAAAGCCTCTTCATTTTTTTCTTCATTTTTGTTAACCTCGGCTGGCAGGAAAACACAAGCTGGGATTCCAGTTGCCATTGCTTTTATTTGTTATCACCTGTCCTTATACAGGAACTGCAGCTTCAGTTAGTAAAATAAAAATACTTGCGGTTTTACTGACAGCCTTATAAACTTCAAAGTTTGATATGGCAGTTTGGAGACTAATGATCTCTTCATTAAATTTTTATTTTCTTCCAAATGGGTATCTTTCTCTTTTTTTTTTTTTAATTAGGCTACTGTGTTTGCAAGCTTCCCAGCTGATTTCATCTTTTCTCACCCTATAAATTTAGTCTTATTAAATGACTTTGAAGTCTTTATGGGGAAAAAAAAAAAAGGCAGTAATGATGCACATGGAGAAATCAATGGGTAACCCAGTTCCCTTTGGATTTTTTTACAAGTTTAATCAGTTTTTCAATGGCAATTGCATGCAGCTTGTTCTCGCTCTCTCTCTGTCTTTCTCTTTTTTAATTTTAGATTTCAGGTTTTTTTCTCACTTTTTGGTTGGTTGCTCTTCACAGTCATTCATGTTGGTCTGCTGGATTTCTGTTTTTCAGTTGTTGTGGTTTTTTTCTTTTAATCTTTCTGTAATTATTTTGCTGCTGAGTTTCTTCTGCCTCTCTCTTCACCTCCTCATTTTTTGTCTTGCAGTCCTGTTACTCTGATCAACTTCTGGCCAGTAGATTCTGCGTGAGTACTTTTGCTGAAGTGTGCTGCTGCTGCTACTGCTGCTGCGTTCCCTCACTCTTTTTTGTTTCTTTCTTTGTTTAGTTTTACATAAGTTCATTTCCTTCTTTCTTTATGATTATTTTCTTTGGTACACGCTCTGAAGGAAGGTTTTGATCCCAGATGAACAGAATGGGATAAATCTGGGAATTTTCCCAGCAGTGGTGGATTGTGCACTGTATGCTCCTTCTGGAGTATGTATTTCCATCAAATACACAGGGATTTCGGTGCGGTCCTACTGATGCTTATGAGAGTTTGTCGTTTACACGCTTGTGTTTCAGAGTAAGTGTCGATCCCTCTGAATGTGTACTAAATGCTTTTTGAAAGATACAAATTGAACTTGATGGATTTAATTCGGTTTCAGGAATGAATTGTTTTGTAGACAAAGGTATAAATGGGTTTTACGCACAATCGTGCACACCCGCACACTCACGTGCCCCAAGTAATCCAGAGCTCACTGGATATTTTATTACAGTTTTTTAGAGACAGTAAACTTGTGAAGGCAGCTTGAAATGGGGAGATGTTTACTGCATTTTTTTTCAGAAGTTAAAATAGCAGGATTTTTCAGCTATGAACTGGAATTTCATTCTTGCACCATTCCGGCACGTGCATTGTCTTACTGTTGTAGTAACACCCTCAGCATAAACTGAAGATACCTATACACTTATCATTGTGGCATTTGCTACTAATGTTACATGGATGATTTTAAAATAATGTCAAATAAGGATTATTTTTAATTCACATATTGATAACTATTGAGAAACTACTAAATAGAATTTTATATATTTCTATATGGTGAAATGTATATGGCTTGCATCTTCATTGGATTTTTGGTAGAATAAACAATAGTGAAATGTCTACATTTGAAGATTGATTTATATTTTTCATCTGAAGCCCAGAAAATTGGGAAGTCAAATGAAGTGCTCTTCCTCTAGGAAACTTACTTTAAGCAACTAAGAAATGCACGTAGTACTGCCAACCTCATCTGGTTGAGGATTCACCCACAGAAAATGCCAAAAGGCTGGAGCCAGACTGAAATGGAGGGGCTTTGAACTTTAGGATGCCTTTCTGGTTATAAATGCATCTGGGGATGATTGTAGCATACTATATACCCGGCTGTGGAGCTAGATTTCTTACCCTTTAGAACAACTGAAAAGTTAAAATTAACACTTAAAGAAAGCTTGGATAATATGGAATGCCATTGCTTTGTCTGACATAACATGAAATTAAGCTGCCATGACGTGCTTCCTTCTAGTTCACTTACAGCAGTAACATTGTGGTGTGCCTGCACTGAGAGCTTCATGCCGAAGGTGTGCTGTCATCTACTACAGGGAGTTTAACTCGCACGTAACGCTTAAGAAAACGTGAGAAATACTGGGAAGCAGTATTTGTACGGTGAGGTTGCACCTTTTATCAGACCAGCCTGTGTATCTTCCCAAGCACAATCCTTTGGTCTGACAAGAAAGCAGAAAATTAAGGAATGAATAGTGGCTGGAAAGAATTGCTTTGTTTTGTTCTGCGAACTTTGTTCCTTTCCTTAGTGCTAGACCACCAAGGCTACAACACCAGTTTACTGAGCTAGCTGGGTTTAAAGCTGTTTCTCAGTTACAGGGCTGATTCCAACTTTGGCTGCCAAACCTCTTATTCTGGTTATCATGAAACTTTTCCATGATTTCTAAGATCTTGCCTTTTTCTGGTGCTTTCGTGCCAGTTTTCTGGTAATCTTCAAAGTCCTCCAGAAGAGCATACCCTAGCAGCATTCAGCAGTGTTAATGCTATCCTGATATCAATGTGCGGTATAATACCTGCAACTGTTTATAAATACATACATACAAACATTTTTCATCAGAAGTTAGTGATTCTGACTACATAGTATCCAGTATTTTGCACAGATATTCTCCTTGCCAGGCATTAAAAAAGCAACTCATGGGTTTTATGAGAATTTATGTCTTACAGCTTGGACTGTGTGCTGTCAGTGGCACAAACATAATTTACTTGATATTACACTTTCGAGGAACATCAGCTGAAACGCTGAACAGCGAGAAAAGTGCCCTCGTCCTGCCAGCCAGGTCTCGGGGGTGACAGGGAGTCGCAGGAGGTGATACTTACCACTCAGTCACCACTTACTTGACTTGACTGGAGTTCCTCAGGCTGTTCCTGCAGACCGCAGCTTGAGCAATACATCCCTTGTAAAAGGGATGGTTATCTTGGCGAAATATTGGCTATGTCTCTCAGCCTTCTGGCTGACCGTTCACACTGTTTAGGCAGGCTGAGTGCGTGTGCTCAGACAGGAAGGATGGTGAGCTCTAGCGCAGATGGTCATCGAAGGGTACGTCTACACAGCGGCCTGCAATGCACCACAGTCGTTCTCAGGCTGGCTCAGATACTGGCAAAAGTGTTCCGCTGAGCAGCTGAATTCAACACAAAGGCTGCAGTGCTTCTCAACAGGTTGGCTTTCATAAGCAAGGTTTTAAAAAGCTGTTTGAGGTAGATCTCCATTGTAATATGTCCTGAAGTGGAGACAAACCTGGAAATGTAGCCTCATTCCCTGCCTGCAGGGGATGGAATGACAGAAGCAGCTCCGTTAAGTTACACAACACTCCGTTGTCTTTAAAATATATATGTACTACACACCTTCTTCACTTCTGAAGGTGAATCAGTTTCAAGGCAGTAAGTATGCGATCGTGCACTCAGGGCTATCTTTCGCCTTGCGCTACTGCCAAAAAGGACATCGCCTGTCTTCATTGCCCAGCTGGTCCCAACCGGGAGCTGTCCTTTCCTTCGTACTGGTACAAATCCATGTGCAATGCCAGGGTAAGAGGGGCTAGGAGAATGATCCAGCTCATAACTTAAAGGTACTTTTAACACAGTGTTCCTCATCTGTGCAGAGTATTAGCAGCAACATTAGTGTGTGTGCTGAAACCAAGACCTCTTTTTTCATTGATAGTACCAGCTTAGAGCAGCTTAACATCTACTGTATGTCAAACAAAAAAAGTGGGATAGCGTCGGTTTATCAGAAAGCCATTGTTACCCTGCTCCATAATCCACTGTCCAGATAAAATGCATCCTTTTCCCCTCCCTTCCCTTCAGTGTAGATGTTCTTACACAAAATAGGATACCAGGTTGAAGAGAAGCAATTGCCCATTTGCATGAAATTCTGCTGTACTGAGGAATGCAGCAAACTGAGTATTTATCCTCTGGTGGGCTGTGGTAGTGTTTCAACATATGATGGGTAAACGTACAGTCAGAGGCCAAAGCTTATTTCAGACAACAAGAGATTTGTGATACTTGGCCTGTAATGTCTTAAAAAGAAAAACTTTCCTGTTCTGTGAGAAGAGATGTTAATGATCATGAATTTTATTTATCCAGCATACAGCGCTCTAAATTTGGAAGGATCCTAATTTTCCTAGAGCCCTTTGCAGGCTGATGAGAAAACTGGAAGATGACCAATCTAGTAGATTTACTACAGGATTATCAAACTTCTAACACGGGAGCATTACCAACCACAAGATTATTACAGCTTTGGTTTATACCCAGCAAATACAAATCTTATCTGCTCTTGCAGTGCAGTGCAATTCCCGTTGGGCATACCCGGCCTGAACTGCAGTAGCCAACCATTTAAAATGGAGGGGAAGCCCTTCCTCAGTCAGCAGTTCCAGAAGGGAGAGTCGGCAGAGACGGAATAAACAGTTGAAATTTAGCTAAAATATGAGATTGCTCTACAGTTTGGGAAGCTGCACCGGTTTTTGTTATTCCAGCACCTCCTGATAGACCTAGATTGGCAAAATCCCATACAGCAGCCAGAGTTGAGGCTCTAAGAAACTAAATCTCTAATTCATGAGAAAAGTTCCTTGAATTGTTTTCACTGACAAAAATGTGAAGAGGACCTCATACCATCTGATTTGTCAGATAGAAAGCCAAAATAGTTGCCAGTGTCCTCCTGTATAACACACGGATCTACGGTTCAGATTACAGCTCTGGAAAGGCGCTAGGCAACATAATTCGTTTCTGCAGTGTGTCATTAAAGGCTCATTTCAGACATTTTATGTTTCTTGTATTTATTTCTAGTTGCACGTGGAGTAGTCCTTAAAGGCTCTCTTAAGTGGGATGTGCTGGAAGCAGGCAGTGGAGCAGGGCAGGATGCAGAGGAGAGGTTCCCAACAAGACTTGCGCAGCTGGTGGGGGGCTGCGCGTGAAACAGAATTACCACCGAAGGAGGCAGGTGTGAAGGGAGAACCAGGGCAAAAGCTCATCCATAAATCCTTTGGAAAAGGGTTCTTCGAGGATTGATGCGAAGAAGAGCTGTTGCAACAGACGGATTGCAAAATGGTCAAAATCCCCAGCGTGGTACCACAAAGCGTTGCACCGACGGCTCGAGGAGGCACACGCAGCACCTGGAGTTATAACTTGCTGTTTATCAAACATAGCTGAGGCATGGAGATGTGAGGGTGTAGGCATAGCTAAGTGTCTTTTTACTTTTAAAGGGGTATTGTTTGTGATTAATCAGTGTTTTCTGCCTTATAGGCCTGCCTCGTCCCCTCAGCTTTCACATGATGATACTCATTCACGCATTGAACATTATGCTAGCAGGTATGAGACCAGCTGGACATTAGGCAGATCTTTCTCTAAACAATCATTTTTTTTAAAAAAAAAACCCCAAACCTCCCAAAGGCTAGCTCCTACCCGAGCGCTTCTCAAAGAAACATAGGGTTTGGGGCTTTGCTTTCCAGGCTCTGGGATGCGGAGCATGGCCTGTGGTTGCTGCTAACCAGCCTGTCAACTAACTTGCATGCCAGAGCACCTGTGTGGTCAGAAGTGGCCCTTAGGGCCTGTGGGGTCTTGGTTAAACTGTGCACGTGGATTAACCACTTCCTGGTAGAGCCTGTACCGATACGACAAGGGGTAATGGCTTTAAACTAATAAAGGACAGGTTCAGACTAGGTATAAGGAAGAAATTTTTTACAGTCAGGGTGGTGAAACACTGGAACAGGTTGCCCAGGGAGGTGGTAGATGTCCCATCCCTGGAAACACTCCAGGTCACAGTGAAGGGTGTTCTGAGCAACCTGATCTGGTTGAAGATGTCTCTGCCTGTTGCAGCAGGGGTTGGACTAGATGACCTTTAGAGGTCACTTTAACCCCAAAGTGATTCTATAAGTTTACATGGGGGTTTGTTTTTAATATGGACCCTGGTGTAATTGTATAAATCAGAAGAGCAGAAACCTCCAAACTCTATGTGACTCTCAGGTGCAGTGTTAATGTTACGTAATTCACCTTTTGGAATGCCACAAACCGGATTTTTCCTTGATTTGGAGGATTATAATAGTGGTATTTGGTGCTTTAGTTCACTTGTTAGCTTTCACACTGCTCTTAAGAATCAAAAAGTGGGTTAATTGCACAAATACAAAATGTTTTTTTCTACCAGGCAAGCAAATTTGCAAGGGATGAGAAAATACGAAAAATAGTTATTCCAACCTCCTCTTTCTCTCCCCCAAAATCACTTGATCAGGAGAGGTATTTCTGAATTATGCTGACTGTTTGGGGGGGGGCAAGTGGTGAAAACCAGTGAGAAATGACTGATGATTATAGTTCTGATGATGACATTGCTAGGTACAAAGCAATTTATGTAAGCCTCTGGCATCTTAAGGCCTGCCTTTGTGGAATTAATTAATCATGAGGAGTGGAATATAAGCTCAGAGAAAGGGTTGAAAACTTAGAAGTGAGTTTAGCCACATCATTGTAACAAATGAAAAATCCTTTGCAATAGCTTATTGCAAAACTTTTTGGTAATCAGCAGTGAGCGTAAGTTATTTTGAATTTCAAATTCACCAAAAACATCATGCTCTTTAATTCTTTCAGGAATGTTAGAGCAAATAAAGTTTCTGGAAAACATAATTGATTTTAATGAGTCTTGTTTATTTTTCCACAGGCTAGCAGAAATGGAGAACACCAATGGCTCTTACTTAAATGACAGTATTTCACCTAATGAGAGCATGTAAGTAGGCTGGTTTAATATTTTTGATACATGTTTTCTTGTGAAGGTGAATAACTTGTAATGAACTTCTGTAGTTCTGAATTGGCATGGCCACGTACCACCTCTGGTTCAGTTTAAAGATGAACTCATGTTCTTTCAATTTATATCATTGTCCAGGTTTATGGCTTACAGCTTAACACCAAATTTATGCAACAGATGACTGATACCTTCAAAATTAAAATTACTAATTTCTTAAATAAAATTACTTATTTATTCAGCAAATAGTTCTCATGTTACTTGGAAAAAATGCTCATCATGTGCATGTGGTATGTTTTAAGGACAAAGATGAAAAGATAACCCATCTGTCTGAACAGCAAGCTTAATTGTGTTTAAATTGCTGTAAGCAGCTAGAAAATGTTGTGGGCTAACTGTTGTTGCAAAAGTTAGTGAGGCTAAACAGAAATCTTTGGTCTACAAATACCTGAAATACATTTCAGGTGTAAGCCAGGAGGCACTCATCCTTACTGAGAAGTATTAGAAGTAGTAAACTTGAAAGCTGGACAGATCACTGACAAGTATTCATTGTACTATTTTCAATGTACAGTCATAAATAAATGTTTTAATTTTTTAAAAAGTACTTCAATCTCATGTCACACAGGCCTTTTTGTGATTTTCTGGCATGATAGTATATTCCTCTTCTCTAGTAATTTTCTTGATTTTGGTTTTTTTCATTCTCTGAATGAAAGGACATAGAACTAGAAAGCTAACTGTGAGTAATATTTCTGAAAAGAGGACAGGAACACATAAGTCATGGTTGTGCTTGAAAATTTAATCTTACTTAATTAACTGTGTAGAAGAAGCCACAGTACAGATTCTGAATATTATAATTCCAGTTAGAACGATAGATGGAGGCAAGGAAGGATGGAAATGAAGAGATAATGCATAACTATACCACAAAACATTTGTAGTGTCATTGCAGTTGTGTATACAAAACACATGCAGGCTGAAAATCACACAAAAAGAGTATGCCTTGCAAAGTGACATTATATTGCAATAGTTATGTCACCTTTTCACTGTTTATTCGTTTAAGATGTGTAAGGATATTTATAAAGGCAAAGCACTTGTTTGAGGGAAATCACAGTTGAAGTGTTTCGTGAAAAATATAAATTTAGGAACAGGCAAGCCTTTAAAATTTTACTCAGAAAAAGGAAATACAAATTTTTCACCTGTTGTGAAAAATTAAGATTTCCCCTTTTTGAACTAATGCTAATGTGCTCTGCATTGCTTTAGCACTCCTGCAGTCTGTAAAATGGCGTTATTAACATTTTCAGGAACAAAATGGGAACAAGGAGGATTCTAATTTTTGAACAGTAACAGCTATTCAAAATGCCTGTTAATTTCTCAATAACAAATGCAGCAGAAAAAAAAAAACTGGACTGAATTAATTTGTTATAAGTAACTACTGCCAGAAATGCAAGATTCCCAACAGCAGTGTCATTTTTTTTCTGTCCTTGACTTGTGGTGTCAAGAGAAACCTTCCATGGTTTCCCACAGTTTGCTACTGGTGTTAGCTGCATTGCTTAAGGCCTGGATACATCATCTTAACACCTGAAACATCCATGTAATTCTGGGAGGTGGTCAACAGGTCTTCAGAATTGGATTTGCTTTTCTCTTACAGTGATATTTCTGTTTCAAACCTGGACAGCTTCAAGGGCAATAGGAATAAAGGAAGAAATCATATAAATTAAATAGAATATGTTTGTATTCTGACAGTGTACATCACTTGTAATTAAAAAAAAGTTCAGTGAAAAATAGAATAATTTCATTAGATTAAGTCAATTGTTTTATTTCATCTCATTTGCAATTCTACAGAGAAAAACAGAAAAATAGAGGATGCCTTTATTACATAAGAAGAGTTTGTAGGTGTTAGAATAAATGCCTTGGCTTTGCTTGAATGACCCTTCCACAACACAGATCAGGCAGCAGCAGATGGCCTTTTTATCAAGCAATTTCCTAACTGAAGTTAGGCAAAAGAGGAAAGCTGAGGTGCAAAACTCGACTTCGGGTATCTGGGAAGTGGAGGGGAAGCGAGGTGGGCTCTGCAGAGAAGGAAAATTATCGGAAATTGTCTAAGTGAAACAGCTCAGCAGCTTTTGCTTTAAGGTACATGGCTCTGCTGTTGGTTACAGAGTGCAGCAAATCTCTTGGTAAGAAATGAGAGACTGGGAGTGACTCATCTCCTCTTGTTCACTGCAAAGTTAAAAACGAGGAAGGGAACAGCCTCTTTTATCCTCTTCTCTTTTCCAGCGATGATGAGCACTTGTTAATCCAGCACTACTGCCAAAGTCTGAACCAGGAGTCCCCCCTGAGCCAGCCCCGCAGCCCTGCCCAGATCCTGATTTCTCTGGAGAGCGAGGAAAGAGGAGAACTGGAGAGAATCCTCGCAGACCTGGAGGAGGAAAACCGGTGGGTTACGCTGTCAGCTGCTGCGGCCCTGGGGCAAACATAAGCTTTCTGTCTATAAATGATGGGGCTGACGACATACCGTCGTTAAGACGTTCCAACTTCCAGTGCGGTGATGAGTCAGCACTCCTTCTTTCACGAAACCTCCAAAATGGCGAGCTTCGGGGACATACCTGGGTCACCTCATACTCGTAGTGCCACCTGTGACAGGCTTTGCTGGCTGATATTTCCTTCTGTTCTATTGTTTCCCTTATTTCCATGATAGGAATGAGCTTCATGCCAGAGTTACTTTATCTTGCTGTTACGAGAGGGAAGGGTGGGCAGAGTTCTGTACCCCTTTCGGAAAAGGCAGACAGACGTTTTTGGAAAGACAGGCTTTTAGCAAAAGGGTTGGCTGCTGGGATACATGAGGTTTTGAAATGACCTCAATTCCTTTGAATTAAAGAATCTGTGAAATAATTGTGCTGTACAGTTAGATGGAATTCACTTTGATAGCATTTTTAGAGATAAAATGAGTTACAAAGTTGCATTTTCTGCAGAGTTCTTTTGTGGTGGTTAGAATTTGAGTCCTCTTCTCTTTCTGTTTGTTGTTACTTGTTGCCATTTCTTTAGCCTTTCACTATCAAATATAATTTACCACTTTTAATTTCAAGTTCAATTGAAGTTCTTTTTATTAATCACACAAAAAAACCCAACTGGACTCTTGCAGCATCACAACACTGCAGTCCTCTTTCTGTGGTACACTGGGGTCTTGGGCCATCAGCTTAAAACCTGATAGATCTTGACCTTGGCACATTTGTAATTGCAACCATGAACTAACAAAATTAGACTGTAAGATCGAAATCGTGTAGATCTACAAGGAAAAAAAAATTATTTGCCTTCTGATATCTTCAGCTTTTATGGTAAAGTCTACTGGCATTTTCATGCTCTTTTTTCTTGCCTTTTTGAGAGCTAGGTACTTTTGTTTATGTTCAGAGTTTAATGCGTTTAATGGCATTTGCCTTCGGCATGTCAAGGAAGTAATGCAAGAGCTGGCAGGGTCATAGATCTTCTCTCCATGCATAATCTTCTTTGGAAGGTACTAATCAATGGATGGTACTAATCAATTACAGTTCCACCACCCCACCATCTCCATGAGACTGTGGTTGGGACTTCTTGACAAAGCAGAGAGCCTGGACTTGCAGAGCAGCTCGAGTTGATTTTGGCATGGAGAAGCCTGGAATAAGCTTTTCTGTCACCTGGAATAGGAAGAAGATTTAGATCTGCCTTGTGCTTCCTTCTGGACGTGCATCAGCTACTCCTCTGCAGATTAAGTCTGTTTTTCTGTATAAGTAATATGCTTCAGTCAGGAAAAGAGCCTGTTCTCCATAAATACCAGGTTTTATTTTTCTGTAGACTTACGGAGACACATCTCCAGGGGCAGGGGCAACTAATTTAACTAATAGTTTGTTTTCACACGTGCTTTTTTTCATTTAAGGTGTAATTTGCTCTCAGAGTTACTTTTTAAATCATTGTTATTTTCTCATCCCCTTGTGTTTCCAGCTGCGCTGCACCCTCTCTGAGTTCAGACTACACAGTCTTCAGGCCAGGTTAAGCTAAAGATCAACTGCTAAAATCTCACTGCTCTCCATGAGGAATTAGGAGCGGAGAAAACACCTGGAGATTATGTTTCTGCCTGCATGAATTAGGCTGGCAGAATGTCTGACAGACATAGATAATAATAAACAGGAGAGTGAGAAATAAAGAGGAAGGGTCAACAATACGCTATTTTTTCAGAAGGATTTGGGAGAATGTGGAGGATCAATAGGCATAAAAGATGAGGGAAGTGTTTCAGACAGAAAGCTGTAGTAAACAAAGCTCTTGCTCTCTGAACAGCAGTGAGATTTTCTTTGAAAGAAACACCAGATTTCCTAGTATATAGTACATAAAGCCCAAGAACTTTGCAAAGTGGAGGAAAATCAGTATTTTGATATAAGCTATCATACTTTGCATACAGAACTTCTGTAGTTAAGAAATACTGTGTAACTAATACTGAACAGATAGCAAAATAGCATATTTTTCAGTGGAGTGGTGTTATTTTTTTGAACAGCACTAGGAAGGAGTAAAAATCCAAACACCTTTTCTGTCTGTATACAAAATAAGCTGCCCACCAGCAAGGAGGATGGTTTTTAAAGAAGCCTCATTTTAGATTAGAACTGTGGTACTCAAACACCAGTATAACCTGGAATTAGACAGCTAAATAGGCTAAAAAATTTCTTTTTGGGGTGTATGCCTTAGATTTCAGTATGAGCTTTATTTAATATAACAACTATTAATGAGGAATATAGCATGTTAAAATATCTCTGACAGGGATTACACCTTAAAAATACTGTTTTGAAGATTGTCAATCCTGTACTAAGCAAGAACTGTAGACTCTTAAGTTTGGTTATAGCCTGTTGTTTTCTCATTTGTACTGGAGGCACAGTTACGGACGGGAATGCCACCACGAACAGCCTCTCCTTTTGTGGATGCTTCAGGTCTCAAGGCAGCAGGGATGGAGAGGTCTATTTCTGTGGGACAGAATGGAGGTCACACTGCTGTGATTTTCATTGATTATGACAAAATCCTGACTTTTGTCTCTGCAAACCACTAAAAATAACTTGCACTTAAAATGTGAGGTGGATGCTGAAAAGTGAACAAGTTGTTCTTGTCCTGATAGCTTGTCACAGCCAGATAACTATGATTTTATGGAGGAAACATTGATTCCTGTTGAGAAAAATAAGCTGTTCAGACAGGGTGAGTCAGGAGCCATTCATTTTAACTTACATACCTTTTAGAAAAAAAGTCTTGTCCCTTTAGGTTTCTTTTTCTAGTCTTTCTCCCCCTTTGAGTTTGTGCAAACCTTTTTTTGGCTGTTGTCAAAGGTAATCAACAACTTGGGACCTAATTCCTTGTGTGAACCCTGTTCCAGAGGTGCAAACAACACATTCCTTCCTATGCTGATCCTAAAAATTCCCTCTGAGCAAACGTTCTTTTTTGCTTCAGCATGAAGACTCAGTGTATCTGTTGCATGAAATGAGCTGAACACGATGCAAATGACGTTGTGACCACCTGGTCCTCAGGCCAGCCTTCAAGCACTCGGATAGTTCCATTTTCATTGTACATCCCTCTGCTCCCGTGGCAGGAGCTTGTCTCCTTGCCAGCGCTGAGGTGGGTGTGATGCTTGTGCCTGGGCAGCTGGCCGTGTTAGATGAACAGTCGTCTTTTCCTGCCCGTGTTGACCGACCGTTGTGGCATGCACTTCTGGTGATTTTTGACAATGAAGATTTAGCTCTTTCTGCTCTAGCTTGGATGATTTTACAGTTAAGAGTCAACACATACAGTCACTTCTCAGCAACTCTTGGGAAAGCTTCACCAAGTACCAACAAGAAGCAATGCTATGATATTCCACACGCTTCACTGTCATTTCTCTTTTTCCTCTGTTCTTCACAGTCTCCTGCTTCCTAAAACAACGCCATTCTCTCTTTTTGCTTCGTGTTTTGACTGTTCTCCATCTCTTTTAGGCTGTTTATTGCATTCTGACCTCCATTTGGTTTTCTGATGCAGTTTCTGGTCTCCAAATATTTCCATCTTGACTTGTTACTTAAATGAAAAAGACTCTTTGAAATTGTAATTCTGAAGTTTTGCTTTTGGACAGTTTAAAAAGATCTGTTGCCTATTTTGAATTATTGTGAAACGTATTATCTGACTTATAAACTAACCTGTCTCTGACATAGTTCTAGCTGGGGTTGGGGTTTTTTTTTTCAGTTCCAAGAACCTCTTGTTAGATATTCATTATTTATCTGCTAGCATTTTGAGACCTTGGTGCTTTTGTGGCTTGCAAGTATGACTTACTTAAATTATTTATCTCTAAAATTTGACTGTTAAATAATTTATATTTGCTGAAATGTGAGCATTTTAGAGATTACTTTCAGTTGCTGAAAATGTTTCATCTGAGTATTAGGCCTTCAGACTCATGCTTAGTTTTACATCACATGGAATATTGCGATAAAAGCATTCCTTGTGTACTGAATAGACATAAAGTAATCTTGCCGTGGAAGGTGCTATGACTATATCACAATGTAAGGGAAAAAAAACCCCAATTATACAACTGTCCCAAAAAATTTTGAATTTTTCAACAGTTTTGAAAGTTCCTGAAGAGTAAATATGTTTCAGAAACAAAACAGATCTTTGGTGTCCATCTGAAGGGGTGCAGTACCTAGGTTGTACTGTAGAATAGGTTATACTGACTAGGATGTACTGTACAAGCATTGAATCGACAGCATACAGTTTTACAGTGACAGAGGCTCCGAACTTTTTGCAAAGAATTAAAATACTTTCCTGCTCTTTTAATGGCTGAAGAAAGTGAACACTTCGTAATATTTTAGTTATACCAAGATCACTGACAGAGTTCTGTAAAAGCAAGACTTCTCTTTGGTTCTCTTGTTTTCCTCCCAGCTCCTGGCTGTGCTGTAACGAGAACTTAGTAAATGAGATTCCCAGCAGGAGCTGTTCGCTTTTCCATTGCTTTCCTGACGTGGGCTGTGTGCCACTGGGGAAGCACTAACACCCCAAATCTCAAAGCTGCCCTGTTTCCATGTAGCTGTGGTGTTCTTTCAGATCTGAAGACTGATGAATGGCCTCCACAAATAAGTTTCTTCTGTATAGTTGCCAATAGCGAAAAGTGATGCATTTCTGAACATGCTGGGGCTCCTTTTGGTATTTGTTTTGGCACTGAAGAAGGAAACTAAATCTTCTGAGTGTGAAGCACTGTGAGTAAAACGCTGGCACTCTAGTGAGTGACATGGGTAGGGGGTTCGGTTACCAGCTTTGCCCATTCCTTCAGACCACTGATTTTCTGTCGGGAAATGAAAAATAACACAAATCCACCAATTCTCAATTGCCTCTGAGAAGATTACTCAGCAAATGGGGTCCAGTAGGATTTCCATCACCAGGCAATTAATGCTGCCGGTGATAGATGTGATTAATAACTGACGAGCTCTTTACTACCCAGCCCTTTACAGTTGCATAAATCAAGGTTACATTGCATGCTTCCTCTGTTATTTTTCTTCGTGAATTCTTCAAAGAAGTGCAAGCATAGCACATGGAATATATGCTTTTATTTCTCTTACTGAGGTAGAATGTATTTTCCCAGTGACCAGAAGGTGCAGCAGTGTGTGTTTGTGACAGCCAGGTATAAGAGTCACCCAGCCTGAGCTGTGGTGAAGGGAGGCTGGGTTTCCCGCTACTGCCCGTGCTTGCTCGGTCACACTCATTTAGAGAGGGTTATGCTTTTATCTCCCCTTTCTCTTTCTTACCATTTTATGCTGAAAATGTCAGAGTGTTCCTTTCCTCAGGACACAGAGGCTTTACTCTCAGGGCTGTGGGCAGTGCCATGGATGCCTGGCTTGCAGCAGCAATCCTTTTTCACCGCACAGCTTAAAAGTATTCCAGAGGTAGGAATAAAAGCAGATTCTTCTCTCCTCTAGGATATTCTTACAGCAGCTTTCAAATTCTTTTTTATTTTTGAGCTTTTTCCCCCTGGTATTAATACCAATCTTCATTCCTCTCTGTTAGATCCCAATTATTATGATGATGTTGATTGTCTGTACTCCTCATCGCTCTTACAGCTCTGAAAGCCATTGCTGTGATGGGTCTTAATTCTCTGGACTAAGGATGGTGTGGCTGGACTGAAAAGGGGTGGCTGGAAAGCTCAGAGACACAGGTGCTCTGGACAAACTCATGTGCGACCTTCAACGCGACATTCCTTGGTTCCAACAGTATTACTGTGTTTAATTTCAGAACTCAGAAATTCAGACCTGTCTCTGCATGGATAATATGCAATGTCCTTTTTTTTTTTTTTTCCCCCGTAGGCTTTCAGAAAGAGTTTTTAACTATTTTGTAACAGAAATGAAGGCATTTTTATCAGAGTTACTTCCTCGTCCTCACTTGTTTTTCAGTACCACAGTTACTGGAAGGACTTCTCTGTATTGGTAGTTGAGGTGATAACTGTAGATTTCTTTGTAGCAGGGTACCTAATTATGTTGTAAGTATGACCAAGTGCATTTATTTACTATCCCTTATTTTATCTTGTGCTTCACAGCACTTCAAACTTTGGAGTCTGCTGTTTGCAGAGTATTGCCTGTGTAATACATGTGGGAAATTCCTCACTGGGTAGTGATAGCTACAGTCTACAAGCTTTGTGAAAAACAAGCTTAATGATCAATCCTGTGTAAACAGTCTGCAATAAGACCATGTGGGATACTGTTGTCATTCTCATTCCTATTTCCTTTTATATTTTTAGTAATTATTCACCCATTCGTTTAGGTCAGAAGACAGTTAAATCATGTGGAAGGCAACACCCAGTATGGCCCACCTTTCTTTCTTCCAATGGACTTGAAACTCTGTATTTCCTAAAAACCAAAAAGCATTCTTTGAATAAAACTCTTAATTTGACAGAAAATAACTGATATTTATAACAGCCTCTTGATTTGCCATCCAAAGGATTTTCCAGTTTGCCAGTTATTTAGGGTTTTTTTCTTCAAGAACTTGTCAGCCACCTTCACGCAGAATCGAATTTTTAGCTAACCAGGAAAGGAGAAAAACCAGGAAAAACAGTATGTATAACAGCTGCTAGAACACTTCCTATAGCCTGTCCTGTCCTCTCTTTGTGTGGGATTTAGAGAAAGAAATCTTGACTTTCAGGACACCCTGAAGCTAAGAATGATCAACCCCTTATTTTAACCCTTTAAAATTTCTGCAGAGGAGAGATTGTGTAGGTCAGACGTCCCTGAGGGATCATGTTCAGGGGAGGGGGGCACTGTTCCAGGTTAGGACGTGTCTATCTTGCAGCTTCTGAGGGGCACAACTACATCTGAAGAACAGTCAGTAGCCTGTCTTTGTCCTTGGCATCGCTTTCTTATCCATGTGAAATGGTGCGTACTGTTTTAGTTCTTGTTCTGGTCACAGTAACATACCTTTAGAAGTGTTCCAGAGCTTAATAAAGTTTACTGGGAGGTTTCTGAGGTGCTATTAAGCCTCCAGACCAAACTGTCAGTGTGTATTGTGGTTTGCAGGAAGAACTGGCAAAAAGTGCCTGTTCTCACAACCTCAAATAAGAGCAAGTTGGAAAAAAATAAAATCTGGGTCATTGCTTGTGATGAGTAAGCAGTTACCAGAGCACTGAGCCATTTTCTCCCCCTCTGGGAAGCTGTAAAGGAACATCATAGCAACAAAATCCCAGTGCAGTTTATTAGGCCTCCCTTGCCTACAAAGTTTCTGTTACAAGTTCCTATTTTGGCATTTTTGGACTGTGTTATCCCTAACAAGGTTTTCAGTTTCCTACCTTCTGTGTTCTTCCTGCTTGATATATGATTTTTTTTTTTTTCATGTGGGCCACTATGGGCCATATTATTCTATGGATTGTTTTATTGGAGTAAAACTGGAATTTTACAGAATACAAGTACAGGCTTAGCAGTGTCCTAAAGTTAGAGTAGGCTGCAGCACTCTAGACAGGGCAGTCCAAGCGAGGATGGAAATTTTAGCCCCAAAAGTTAGTGCAGTGTAGTTTAACAGAGGAGCTCACCAATTGTCTTTTCCTCGTCTTTGGTTAGTGATTTTAGAGTGTAGTGACAGGTTGGCCAGGTGGCACACGCTTTGGTTGGGGTTTGTTAAGTGCTTTGATCACTCAAAGTCCTCTTTTAGCACTAATCACTCCTCGAGTGTATTCGTGCGTGGAAGCGAACAGGCAGTCCGACTTCTGCTGGGAAGGATGAAAGGCTGAGCCCAGGACAGACTGTACCCCAGCGCCGTGAACGTGTCTGGATCCCAGCCAGCCTTCTTCATCGTGTGCCCTGGAAGGGAATTAATCGTGAATCCTGGTGACGCAGAGAGCCTTTAGGCAACGCTTGCATCGCAGGTCTCTATAATACCAGCTCCGTGCAAACCTGTGAGGTGTGAGCCAGCACGGACATGCACTCAGCAGAGTGGAGGGGAGGTGAGCCCCTGCCCCTGATAGTGAGACACATGGGTTCGGTCACATGAGAGGAGGTGCCTTCTCCCTGCCCCCGTGCAGAGGGTAGCCTGCACTGCCTGTTCTGCTTTGTAAAGCTTTGCCTCCATGCTGCTTCTCAACAGAAACTTGCAAGCAGAATATGACCGCTTGAAGCAACAGCATGACCACAAAGGACTGTCTCCACTGCCGTCCCCGCCGGAGATGATGCCCGTTTCTCCCCAAAGCCCCCGGGATGCTGAGCTCATTGCAGAAGCCAAGCTGCTTCGCCAGCACAAGGGCCGCCTGGAAGCCAGGATGCAGATACTGGAGGATCATAACAAGCAGCTGGAGTCGCAGCTGCACAGGCTGAGGCAGCTGCTGGAGCAGGTGAGCCCTCAGGCCTTTCTTCTAGATCTCTCCAGAGTCATCATCCAAACAGGGAGGGTGTCACGCGTTACCCATAATGACAACAGACCAAGAAATCGTATCTGTAGAGACTAGTCAGAGAAAATATGAAATTCTTCTATGGGCTGCAAGTGAGAAGGTGAAATCGTGTTGGTGCTCTTACTAGTTTTCTTCCTTGTTTTATTCATAATTCAAATCCACTGGTTGCATGGATGTATTTACTTCAAAACAGACAGAAGATTGTGTTTATTCATGGAATAAATAAAAAACACAAACATAAAGATGTGTGCAACTGTACTGAGCTGTTAATAACAATCTCTTCTTCTTTTCTTCAATTTTCAGCCGCAGGCAGAAGCCAAGGTGAATGGTACAACACTGTCGTCTCCTTCTACCTCTTTGCAGAGGTCGGACAGCAGTCAGCCAATGCTTCTTCGTGTAGTTGGCAGCCAGACTTCAGAAACCATGGGTAAGACAACAAAGTTCATATTCTCATAAAAAATTGTTAATAGTCCCATTTTCCAGGAAAAAAAAAAGTCCTTAAAGACAGAAAATACTCTGCTTTCCTGTTCAGTTAAATGAGAATGAAGTAGACATTTTCAGTGGTCTTCGGTGCCATCTGGCTGTTTATGTCTTCATTATGGACTTATTGCTTAATGAAATATTACTAAAAAGCTAGAATTTCAGATATTAAGCATGACATGACTGATTTAAATGTACATAGTGTCAATTATGGCTAAGAGGTGAAATGTGTGATTAATCATCCCCATGTTAACTGATGTGTACTTATTTTTAGTATGTCGTGGCTCAGTCAGTAGGACTGAGCTGTCCTAGGCAGGGCTCATCTAGTGTCTTTTCTAAATATCACATTAGATGTGATAATGTACATCATATGAGTTGTGGAGTAAGGTTAAATAATAACATTTCGTAGCTAGAGGCTGGAATTATTATTTTGGTGCTTTTAGTAACTGCTCTGTAGCATTTTCCTAATTTCCTATCTGTTATATAATTAATAAGTATTTATTACTGAGTAGTACGGATTTTCTGGTACTAAAAAAGCAATCAACCATTGCAGCATCTTTAAGCAAATGTACCTAAATTACTTCAGCGAGGTAATATTTCATACACAGAAATACGTTTAGTGTGTATTAGAGGGAGGCTTTGGGGGATAGTGAGAGGCTTAAGTGAGAGCTTTTCTCTACACTGCAATTAGTAAAGGAGTCGATGACAGTGAGAAATTGAACGGGAGGGGACGTTTTGCTGTGCCTGGAGTGCCATCGTGGTGGGAGATACAGCTTGCTCAGGGGCTTTTCCCTCCATCCTCAGCACAGGCAGTAACATCAGCCTGTGCCCTTATGAAACAAGATGGGGTCTGTATGCCCTACAACTAAAAAAAGGTGAAATAAATTGTTTAGGAATGCTTACGTTAAATCCTGAGGGTGAGGGTACAATCACAGGTAACAGCAATTTCATTTACATCTTTCTTTAACTGTATTACCAGTGAGTAAACATTTTGCAACAGAGTAGACAAAATGTATTGGCGGCGTAATTTTTGTGGGTTTCTGAAGAGATGGCATGAATTTCATCACAGAAAGTATGTTAATTAAAATACACAAGAAAAGATAGGAAGACAGTGGTTCCCAGCCATTTGATTCAAAGCCTTGTGGTTTCATATTTCATTGTTTAGTAGGACAAAATACAATAATGTACTTCTTTTTATTTGGCTCGATATAAAATGATTCCCATTGAACTCGTGAGACTGAAATTAATTAGTTAACACACATATAATCATATAAACTGCTAAAAATTATTTAAAGCAAATGTTGAGATATTAACTGGGGTTTTTTGCTTGTTCAATTGAGCCAGTATGTGGAAGGCTAGTGAAATGTTGAATCATTATCAGTATGATCGTGTTGAGACTTAGCAAGGCAACACTGTTGGCAGCATGGAGCGGAGCTTATAAAAAGAATTACTAACCGAGCTAACAAACCGCAACTGATTTAGTTTGTCGAGTCTCCTTTCACATCAGAAGGCTTTGCTGGCTGGTCTGAGGGTTTTCTGAAGCACAACTTCAGATATTCCTGATGTCGTGAAAGGGAACCAGTGGGGTGTTGTAAAGAATGCTCCCATGCAGCAGGCATGTGCCCAATGATGAAGGACTCATAACTTTCCAGAAACTACTGAGGTTCTTTAGGCCTCTCAGGCAATGAGGTAATGTAGTGGTAGCTTTTATGTATTTTTCTTTTTGAAAGGAGACCTGTTTTTGTGGTGTTTTTGTTTTTTTTTTTTTTAAATTTGGTAGACCCACTGCACTTCTCTGTCTCTGCTTTCTCAAGGAGAGATGACTGTAAAAGGTTTTCCACCAGCAGCATTGCCCAGCCGTTTCCACAGCCCAGTCAGATCCTAATTTACAGATAGAAGAGCTTGTCCCTTGACAATCTGAAATACACCCGGGCAAGTGGAAAGGTTCTGCTTTTCTTCTCACTGAGGCCTAATGGGAAAGTCTGGGTCTTTGGCCTTTCTCCCCCAATAATGTGGTGGCAGAGGAGGTTCTCTGATGCAGGTGAGCCAGGGGGTTGTTGCTGAACTTAATTTGTCCAGGGACCACCAGACTATTTGAGACCCACCCAGCTCTCTGAGCCTTTTCCAGAAGCACGAATGGGGAATACTGTTTTGGGTCAAGAGAGATAACTGAGGTCTGAAGGTGTCTTTATTTTTGTCGGGTTGCCTGGCTGATGTCTTATGTTGTCACATACAAGGAAATGCTCAGAAAAAATCATCCAAATGAGAAAAAATAAAAATAACGCATTTTAAATAGAAAAGACAGCAGTATCTTGAGGATCAACACAGTTCGGTTTCTACCGGTGCTTACCAGGACATTTGGAAATCAGTGCCTGTCCTCAGTTCCTTTTGGCCAGGACAGTAGAGCTCTCTTTGCAGTCTTCAGGGCCGGGTGGTGTTTGCAGGCACACGGATAAGGTCCTTGGCCTGGGTAGAAGCAGCAAGATCTCGCTGTGAGCAAGATCTCGCTGTGTTTTCACCTTGACGTCCGGGCTGGAGGCTGGAAGGATGTTAGTTCTGCTACAGCACCTCAGCCGGTGCAGCACTTGGTGTGAAAGTAACTCATAGTGTGAGTTGATTTGTGTGAACTGAGCACCAGTTGAAAGCTGAGCAAACTGCAAGCAGTCTCAGCAGCTATTTTTTAGACCATTAATGGAATAAGGGAAGCTGATATGAAGACCATCACTTATATGAATTAAGTGATTTTTGCAGATATTTTAGGTCACTTACTGTACTGGAGTGGGAAAAATCACTCCTGGTCAGTAATAACTCCTGTGAAACTCGTGGCCGTAAGGTGAGGCCGACACTAAGCCTAATAATAGGGAGTATATGCAGTCCTGAAGTGTTCTGTTAGCATCTCTTTGAGTAGGCTTTCCACTAGCGTGAAGCACCTCAGTAACCATGTAAGTGCTAGTAGAAAATCAGGCAGTTTATTACTCAAGTTGAGTAGGACAAGACATGTTACAATAAAGCATCAAGTCATTTTCCAAATAAGGATATACCTCTCATGGTTGTTACAACAGGCAAAATTGCTTTAGTGTTTTAATAGGGGTAAAAGAAACCCAGTAAAAAAGGAGAATCTCACTGTGAATATATCCTGTAGGTGTATTCTTTTTTTCAGATGCTAGATTTGTATTAGAAGCTAGGGTCTGCAGTAAAATCAACATATGGATTTCAGTTATCTGAAACCGTGACCAAAAAAAACCACCAATAAAAATGAAATGTATTGCATTTCCCATTAAGCTGCTGCCCTATAATCAGGTTATAGAAATTATTCAGTGGGAGAAATGTATTTCGCTTTATTAAACTGCTGCTAAACCCTTTTACAGTACAATTGAATGTTCTTGGAGCGCCAATCTGATGCAATTAAACTGTCAGAAATATTAATACCGATGCAGATGAGAATCTGGGTTTCTGCTGATTTACACAGCTAGGCAAAGCAGTGCTAACATGAATCCAGCACCATTAGAAAGCTGCTCAATAGCAGCACTCACAACAGCAATTTCTTTTGCCATTTAATAGAATAAGAGAAGCTGAAACAACGAGTATCATTTACGGAACTAAATGTTTCTAGCAGGCATTTTACCCCACTTGTTTTACCAAAATAGATTATTCTTTAAATCTCTTTTTACGAATTAAAGTCAGTGTTAATTGTTTAAAATTCAGTGTTTAATTTCGCTTGGATCCTTAAAAAAAAAAAGAAGAGAAACATTTTGATGGTGTACTAAGCAGAAACTGTTTTAAGTGAACAGCCTTAGCTTCCTGAGGGACATAGGCAGGAGCAAGCTGTTAGCAGATGATTCCGCGGTGGCTCTCACGCAGTGGTGTGGATTTGCTTTCCAGGCGAGGATGAGCTGCTCAGCCCTCCCCAGGACACAAGCACAGGTTTGGAGGAAGTGATGGAGCAGCTGAACAACTCCTTCCCCAGCTCCAGAGGTGAGCGCTGCCGCCCGCGGCAGATGAGAGGGAGGAAGATAAAAGTGCTTTCTGTTCCTTGATGTTTTCAGGGGGTTGTGTTCTGGTTTCAGGTTTTTTGCTGCTCTTTGTTTTCCTTTTAACGACGGCTGTAGAGAAACCTGTCTTATTCAGAGCGGAGAAGCAGCCTGCTCCTCCTTTATCTTAAGCTTCCTCCACAGGTAGCCCTTGCTAGATACGTCGATGAAGCGTTGTCCGTCTGGAACACCTTTTTTTCATGTGCATCTTCTCCTCTTCCCTGTTGCTGTGTTCCTTTCCTCGCAGCTGCTCTCCTTTTCAGTCAGTCCCCTTACTGATTTATTTATAATACATATCTTAGCACGTTCCTCTTCTGTCCTTACCTTTCTCCAGGAAGAATCTGGTTTGAAAGAATATTAAATTTCTGAGTCGAGGTTCTTGACCTTGTAGCACTTGGGTTCAGAGTAGCGGAGGAAACACGGGCGGGCCGCTGCTTTCTCGAGCGCAGGCTGCACGTGTGCGTACAGCCACAGCATTGCCTTTCAGTGCTTCCGTTTTGCTCCTTCCCGTTGTTTGCTGAAGATAAGCATTTGCATTACTGGCATTTATTTGCTCAGCCTTTTTTTGTTTAAGAAAGTTCCTTTCTCAGCCCAGAGCAAATGCTCTGCTGCCAAGAGAAATGGCTTAGATTCCTAGCAGGAGATGAGAAGTTTGTGCAAAATGTGGTCATTTAAATACAAAGAAGGCATTCCCTTTTTTTTTTTCTCCATTCAGTAACTGTGTCAAAAGCGTAGTATGTGCTCACAAGCATCCCTAAAGAGGTCGCAGCTTACACGCTTTCCTGCCTGACTAGCAGCCCTAAAGGGCAAAAATACTCTCTAGCTGTATAAAGGGCTGCGAGGGAGGAGGAGGAAGAGTCCTTTATTGACACCTGTCATCTTCTGTCCTCCTCAGCCAAGCCATGAGAGGAGCTTCTGGTGCAGCAGCCAGGAGCAAGCACAGGCTTTTTGGGCAGAGTCAAGCTTCCCACAGGACTTTTTTTCTGGGCCTGTCCAAAGCGCTACTGAGCTGAGCCAGAATCTGCCTCTTCCTCTCTGGCTGCACAAAACATTAATTCAGCTGGGAGACAAAGTCGTGCACTTTTTGGAGAATTGAACCAAGTTTTGGCTAAAGAGATTAGGACTTCAGTTAGGTTTCTGCATTCTTGATGTATCATTTGATGCATTTGCAAATGCCAGGTTTGTATGATTGCTTTTGGTTGAGAAATAGGAACGGTCAGGACCTCTGTGATAAATAGTTTGTCCTGCAACCCATGCAAATGGATTTCCATTTCACTGGTCGATACAGAAAGCTACTGACATTGTCAATTCTGCTGAGGTCTCGTGCAAACTTCAGTTACTGGAGTTTTCTTCTGCTCCCATTTTAATGATTAACTGGTACTCAGGTGGTACCACATAAACAAAGCTAACGTCCACAGCCAATTTGCCGCACCCTCACACAGACCTGCGTTGTCAGATGAAGGATGCCATGGTCAGTCAGATTCCATGGGGGTAGGGGATTTACAAAACAGGAAGGGGAAAAGAGGAGAAGGGTTGATTCATCTCAACAGACCACTTCATCAGGGACTATTTTGCTGTTGAGATGTGCAGATCAGTATCTCAGATCACAGTGTAATTGCAAAAGAGTGAACGCAGTTTGGCAAAGCAGCCTGAGAAGAGGGTGCAGTGTAAGGATTCGGGCGTCATGGAAGCAGTATTTTATTTCTTTGCACTAGAGCGTGAATCAAATCTCAAGCTATTTGTAGGTATCTAGGAAACAGAACAATAAGCCCAAACAAGTGGTGAGCACGGATCTATAAAAAATACATTTTTTTTTAAATTCTACTTAATAAGGATTAATATAAAACTGTCATATGCAAGAAACTCCGTCATGTCAGACTTGCATTCAGAAGTGTGTTGTGATACAGGAGCTTATGAAATGCTATTTGAAAGGTGAATTCACGCCACTTGGGTAAGATGGCACCACATGCGATGCGTACTAGCTTTAGGAATTAAAACTAGAAGGAAGATGGATTAAATGCCCAAGGTTGACTAGTAACAGAAGTAGCTTTGTTTATTTCCATACTAGTGCTGTAGAAGGAGAAGTCTGCTCTGATATTCATCGGCCGTGTAATTCCAGAAGAACTACAAAGGGCACAGAGCACTCATCAAAACCTACCTAGATTGAAAATGAGAATAACAAAATGAAATCCAGGAAAGGAAAAACATCCATATAAATAACTTGAAATTTATAAATGGGATCAATTGGGGAAATCTAGGGTTGTATTAAAGGGCCTGGAAAATTACTTGCAGAATGGCCAGTAGTTTTCTAAGGCAAATAATAGGTCTTTTTTTGGACTTCTGAAACAAAACATTAAAATGTAGTAGTAATTAATTGTCACTCACCTGGAAATAGATTTGTTTTGATTATGATCTTTTCCAAGCTTTTGCTGCATATGGTTGTTTTTAAAAAGGCATCAGGGCTTCGTAGCATCGTTTTGAATGTATTTTAGAGAAGCCTGTATTAAACAAATTGTGTCATGGACCTTCGTAAGCAGATGCAATAACTTGTGTCCCTGTGTAACTTTTGTAGGGTTTTGTTGTTTCTTCAGTTTAATCTTTTGTCAGTTCATGGCATTTCCTAAGGAGCAGAGGACCTCCATGCTCCTTGCACAGCTGACTCTTGGTGCCGAAAGCTGTTCTATTTCTGGAGAGGGAAATTCTGCTGAATACCTGATGATTGCTGTCCTGAAGGAATTTTTCTTTCCTTTTAATCTACAAGGTTTCCCATTCATTCCTCTTTAACTTTGCTTCTCCCAGCAAATTCACAACTGCTGCAGCTGCTTCAAACAGCTGCTGTGCTAACTCAAAACAGATGTCAAAGCCAGAGGTCTGACATTTAGTGGAAATCTGCCATTAAATACCACCTCGGTGGTTTATTTGACCCTGCTTGATAATGGGCCACAGATGAAAACATTTTCATGCTGTATTTGTGCCCAAGCTACTAAATCTCCAGGGAATAGGTTCACAGTTAGAAAGTAAGATTGGCAGGCCGGTATTTTTCAAGCCAAATTCCTCTTTTCTGCAGCGCTGAGGACAGACAAGTTGCACCGCTTCAGGTGGATCTCGTGGTGGAGCGGGCCGTGTTTCGCGCTTGTGATTTTATGGCAAATGCTTTCTGTGAATGAAGCGGAGAGATGAAGTTAGGGGCAGAACTTCTTGAGCCAACTGAAGTTGGTGAGGGAGCTTTCCATGCAGAGCTGGTGGATAATGAGGAAGTGGGAGCCAAATTGTGGTTAGGAATGAGACCAGGATGGCTTAAAAGAGCTAGGAGGCCATGACGTCACATGGGAACATTTGGAGAGGGATCGGTACTCGCTGTTACCACATTAAATAACATAGTGTGTTGCTTAATACAGATGTTGTTTTGTGCAGTGAAATTACAAGACCCCACAGCAATAAATGAATGGCACTAAGAATAGCACCATATTTTACGAGTTTTGTTTTATTTTTATCTCAGTCACATACAGGCACTCCAGACACATTTTCTCCTCTGACTCTTGGATCAGCCAGGCTCTGTCATGAATGGGACTGATGTCCAAAGTGGAACTGGAAACTTTCAGCACTGCAGACAACGCGGTTTCTCTGATTTTGACAGCAAAACATCTCACAACACAGACTTTTCACACTTTATTGAGTCAGTGGAAGAGTATCCTGGAGTTTTTATACTGTAGGATGTTCTGTAAATACTCTTCCAGTTGAGCTAGCCCGGCCTCTTCTGGACTGTATCCCCTTCTCTTATCCCATGTGCTATATTCTTACATCCCATATCAGTCCACATTGAGCCTAGATGACTGAGATCCCTTATCACTCTCCTGCTGCGTAAAGGTACTGAAGTGTCTGAGCTGCTCTGCAGATTCCTGCTAGGGTGGTGATGGGCAGGACTCGACCTTCCACGATTTATAATGCTCAGTCCTGATGTAAACTGAGAATATGTTAATGAATTTAACAAAACTTCAAGGAACCTTTTTGTAAGGAAAAAAGCTGTTTGCAGATCCAGGTCTCTCCCCCCTGCAGCCCTTCCTTCTCCCAAGTTCGGTGAGGGGGGGCAGTGCAGTAGATGCTTTGTGCTCTTTGCTTTGATCTGAATCTGCATAGATGTATGAAGGTTTTTATTAGTGCCTGTGCTTTCAGGTTTGATTTGATTGCTCTCTCTGTACCTTTGCCTGTGATAGAATGTCATGTAGATTTCAAAAAAAAAAAAGAAAAAAGTAAAGAAGGACTCTTCTATTTTGTAAGGAGAGGAAATCTTGATTTGAGCAGGAGTAATAGATAATTAGGCACCCATGGATTGTGTATCAGTATTTTGATGCCTTATAGAATACAAATTTTCAGAACTGCGGCAATACAGACAATCTTTTTCCTCTGCAATTTATGCCAAACCTTACTCGTTGCCTTAAAACTTAGAGACACGCGCTCATTCATGTGCAAAGTAGAAAATAAAGTAAAATCCATTAAACCCTTTTTAATCTTCTTCCAAAAGAAATTAGCTGTTGCTGTAGTAGTGGTACTCTTTGTTGCATTTAACAAATTATCGGGCTGATTACTCACCACAGACTTCCCTCACCAGCTGTTCCGTGTGGTGCAGAACTATCCCAGCTACCTTTAAATACATTAATTTTCAAGTAGAATACAGTTTGTCTCATAGATATTTAAATCAGACACTATGTAGCTGCAATTTTAGGTGCTTATGCAGACAGGTAGGCATTTCTTAAGCCCTCCAAAAGGATCAAAACAAACTTTTTAGCAGGGTCTGTAGCTATAGGACAAGGGACAGTGGTTTTAAACTATATTTGAGGGTAGGTTCAGACTCAGTATAAGGAATGTTTTACAATTAGGGTGGTGAAACACTGGAATAAGTTTCCCAGGGAGGTGGTAGATGCCCCATCCCTGGAAACACTCAAG